AAGATCTTGCATAGTATTCTGTTACACATGTGCCATAATTTATTTAAACTTTCCATTATTTATATCCATTTACATGCTTTCATATGTTTGTAACCACAAATTTGATAAGTATCCTTATACTATATCATTGTGCACATGCTTTATATCAATTACCTATTTATCTATCAACTCTCTGTCCACACATGCACACACACACCACACACATCATTTGTCATCTGTTTATCTCTCTTTTTCTCTCTCTACTTTATCATATCCCTCTTTAGACTTCAGAATCATTTCCTAAAAGTGGAATTACTAGGTCAAAGGACATACTTATTTTTAATTAGAAACAGTGTCTATATTGCCCTTCATTGACTTGAATCATTTAATATTTTCCCCACTAGTAAAAAAGAAATCTTTTTTTTTTTGCCTTGTACTTGATAGGGCAAATTTTGTCAAGTATTGTCGAACTTTATTTTCCCCTTCCATTGGGTCATTGTTTTCAATGTGCATGAGAATCTTTTTCATAAGTTCAAAAGCCATTTATATTTCCTTCTCTGTTTCTCTGGCCTTGTTCTTCTCTCCTACCAGAAAATAAAATGAAACTATCAATTGAGGTTTTTAGTCCCTCCTTAATTTCCTTTTATTAACAAAATTTGCAAAATATGCAGGATCTGATAATTGTCAATGGTAAGTACTGCTTTTAACACTCATGTACCAACAGACTGTGCCTCTGAATGGCATTGTAGTTTAAGTAAGATAATATACCAATTTATTGCTGCTTTGATTATGGATTCATAATTACACCTAAATATTTCTGGCTGGGAAGTGTTGATTTTTGAAAAACACTGTGATGCCTCTTCTGAAGGGAATTATACCAAAGTCCTCTTTAGTTTTTATCACTGAACAAATGTTGCCATAATCTTTTTGCAACATGCATTATATTCATGATCACTACCAGACATGGCCTCAGTCTATCATTTTTTACTTTATTATAGGAAACATTTTAATTTGATTTTCTTTTGGATTCTTAAATATAGACGTTGGAATGAGTATATGAAAATTAATGTTCTTGTGATTTTTAAGGGTCTTTTACATAAATATCAGAACAAAATCCTGCCCACTATGACCTCCTTCTACAGCCAGGATATTTTCTTCTTGATTTACTTTTATAAATCATTTTTCTCATAGGTAGCAAGGTAGTGTAATCAGAAGAAAAGACTTGTAGCCCTTTGGCAAAGACAGTAAGAAGTGATAGACATAAAATAAAATCCCCTAGCAGACCAATATTATGAACGAGTGAAGCTTTTATAAAGATAAATTGTGAAAGTGTATAGTTATACATCAACTGTCAGAGCAGCAGCTGGAGGGCCCCTGGGGATTTGGTTTGACAGGGTTTTCACTGCAATCACTGTGTTTATGAAAGACTGGGCTACAGGTCTACGCCTCTTCTGAAGATGTGCACTTTCTCCTCCACATTACTTTCTAGACGTACTGGCTGACTCTGATCTTGAAATTCCTTTTACTTCTCCAGGAAATCAAGACATTTTGCTCTACAAGGAATGGATTTTAAATGGTCTATTAACGTATTTACATGGTTGCTGAATGTCCCTCTCTATGGTTTCAAATCGAGTTATGGGAATTTGGGAAGCACTCTGAATTGTAACTTTATTCTGTTCTTTCTGTTTTATTTCTGCTTTAAAGCAAATAGTATATCATTTGACTATTATTGATACCATAAAATAAATTAATACAGTTTGAGACTGAATAGGAAAGTCAGGCTGCTTTTGTATTCTGGCACAAGGGCTTTTTAGAAATTTGCAATTGCTCCTTTCTTGCTTAATCGACCTCTCTTCCTCATTTTCCAGTATTCCCAGCTCCGTTATATACTCCAACTGCAATTTCTCATGCAATGAACTTAAATTGAGAGAAAGCTATGGCAGAGTTCTCTCGTTTACAGACTGCATTCTCAATAAAGTTTCCCAAATCCTATAGCCCACACTTTCTTCGCATGTCCTCAGTTGTCACTCCTCTATGGTGCCTGTCTTAGTCACTACTGTTTTTATTTCTTCAACTGCTCTGTTATCTTTCTGTCCACGTCATAGCATTGTGTGTTCTGAGGGGTTTAGGTTAACATACTTCTGGCAGGTGAAATGAATATAAAATGTATTCACAATGGAGTACTGACAACTCTAAGCTTTGGGTGAATTAGTTGGTCTCTTAACCCTAGTGGCCTCTTTGTAAGTGATCTGCTATTTAAGCTTAACTACTCTTTATCCATAGGCCTCACATTTCACTAATTCTTTTATTCATCCAACAAGAAGTAATTCCTTATTCTTACTATGTGTTGGGCTTCATTCTAAGCAAGGAGCAAAAGAGATAAAGACCTGGCCTCTCCCATGTGTGTGAGAGAGTACAAAAAACAAAAGACAAACAATCATGATCCAAAAAGATATATGTCAGGTGCCATGAAGAAAACCAAAGGAGGATAGAGAGTGATGGGGGTGGTCAAGGAAGGCTTCTCAGAGGAGGTGGGATTAAGCAGAGACCTGCATGAAGTGAGGGGGCAGTCAGGCCTATGTTGAAGGGAAGAGTGTTCCAGGTACAGGTAACAGTAAGGGCAGCATTCTGAGATAAGTGTGTGGTTTTAATAAAAGACTGGGATCCAGCTTCAGCACCTCCATGTGACACTGCCCTCAAAGATTCCCTGGAGAGGCGGGTGAGCAGGCTTACGAAACAGCAAATGGCTGGGGGCAGTGAGGTGTCAGGGACCATTGTCAGACCATCTCTGCCTGGGATGAAAAAAAATCGTGGATAAATAAAACCCAGAAAGCTCTTTTTTCTTTACCAAAAAGTTAAAATTTAGTTGATGTTCTAAAATTAACAACCACTTGGCATGACCAGAATTGCCAGAAAGGGAATCTTAATGTTTACTTTTTAAAATAAATACAAATAGATTCCTGAAAAATAGTTGGGAAAAGTTCATTGAGAGTTCAAATAGGTGATCTAGAAACTATTGCTTTTTTTTTATGAAAAGAACATCTACAAAACACAATAATAAGACTGATACCCAATTGTATTCTAAATAGACTAGAGATTTTTGATTCCTGAAAAAATGACTCCCGTAAACTAAAAGTCTTCATATACTGCCTGTTTTAAGATCTGACTCAGGAGAAGAACAAAAACATAAAACTACAAAATTAACTCTATCTACAGCAGTTGTTTTACTCATTTGATAATGTAGACATAACCATTTGTCAGCGTCCCTGCTAGATACAGAATTATCATCTCACACTACAAAACATCCTTTTTATAAAGAGTAATATTTGCTAGGCCCACACTCTAGTTCCAGACGCCCAAAATCCTGTTCTGTGGTCACGGCTGTCGGAGGACAGGGCCAGGGGGACGGGCAGAGGTGTCGGTTCTCACATCTCATCTGGACCCAGGACAGATGACTCTCTGACAAGATTCCTCACAGGTTTGTTCATGGATTGCTCTCCTCTCAACGCCTCAATCTTAGAGGGGAAATCGAACTAGAAACTCATTTGCATTTGGTAATATTTTTATAAATAGTGAGACCTCAGATCATTTGGGAAGCCTGATTCTTGCAAGTTATTTGTAATAGAGGACCGAATCCCAATCGCCAATACATGTATGAAAAGATGAAAAGTTGCTTGACTGTGCTAGTGGTCAAGGAAATGAAAACAATGAGAAAGATGGATGTTTTATTTCAGCCTGGACTGGGGCTTTTTCATAACTCAAATGGTGGCCAAAAGGCTATGGGATTTGCCTTAGGTGTTGCCAGGGTTTGGGGACAAAGGACGTTGTACTGTGTTTGCAAACAGTTAAAGGGGAAAAAAAAATGAAGCTGTTTTCTGATTGTGTCTACTCAATTCAGCCATTTCTCTCTCCCTCTCATCCTCCCCCAGCCTTATCATGTTTATAAGATTTTATGATCAAGGAGAAAAATATGGCAGGATGCATATCAGATGGGCTACCTTGGCAGGGAGATGCTATGAAGGGAGGTGGGGAGGGGAAGTCATCTGGAAAAGAAAAAAAAAAGAAGACAAAAACTGCATCATCAGGAAGCCAAAGGGCAGTTGGCATTTCTGTTTGTATCTAATATCTTTGGAGAGTAACTGACACTGACGAGAAGTGTAAATTGAAGTGTGTGTTGACTTTTTCCTGGAATATGTTCAGAGTTAAATGCAAGGATTCACCAGGGACTCAGAAGAAGCAAATGTAGAATGTAGACCAGTCACACTGTGTTTGCAGGACATAAACTGAAGTTGCAAAACAAATAATGAAGTTAGTAATTTGACCATGAATGTCCAGATATACCTAAAGAAATATCTGGGTGATACACTTTAGAAATCCTCATCTAGATTCAATTGTAATGAATACAGAAAATAAGGAGACTGCAAATCATCGTTATTTTAATCAAGAGTCTGAGGCTAGCTGCATAGTTTGAGTGGTTCATATACTAAGTGTTTAACAGGTTCTCTGCTTAGTTATATTTTAACAAACAGTTATTTCAGAAAATGTTGTAACTGCAAACCACTCTGGCAGTAATTTATCTAATTTGTGTATCCCTTTCTGAATTTGCAAATGCGTGAATCTTAATTTGAGGAATTAAGGAAATCAATTTGTTAATGAGTGGGTTCCCGCTTTGTTTTAAGGTTTAATCTTTTATTGGTAGACATAGGGAGAAGGGACAGAGAGAGGCCTGCTTTCTGACGGAGGGGGCAAGAAGAGCTGTACTCTATTCTAGAGGTTTGATCATCCTCTGCTGCTGCTCTTTTAATTGACTGGAAATCGAGGTCCTTTGCTAATGATGGTTAATTTGGTAGCCTCACTTTTCAAGCAAAGTTTTGCATCTCTCGAACCTTCTAAATTGGAGTAGTTAAAAAAGACCCAGGAACCGGCAATACAGTAGTAAAAGGATTTGGATATTCACTGATACTTTTTTAACTCACATTTGAGCAGCAAATGATGCAAATTAAAACACAGATACACACGAGTAGAATGAAAATGATTTGTGTTTATGTTTGTCAGCAACATAGTTATTTACAAATAATCCATATGAAAATGTAAAAAAGCATATTACATCTTCACATGCCATCTGTATTAACTGAATAAAGCTTAGTGACATTATTTGCAAATCTGTAGTTAATTGTACATAGACATTTTGTGCGTTAAAAAAGAAATGTACATAATTTAAAATAAATTACATTACACAATTTACAAAGCAATATTAACAAAAATTTCTTAGACAGCTGCCTCCTTAATTAAACAAAATAAATATTCAGGTAATTAAATTAATCGAAAAACACATTTAGGGGATTATAATTTATAGAAAGATATATTGCAAATTTAATAAAGTTTTATTTTACAATGACAGATACTGATCTCTTCAAATTTCTGTGCTAGAAATAGGCAGGAAAAAGTACCAGAAAGGGAATCTTAATGTTTACTTTTTAAAAATAAACATGCATAGATTCCTGAAAAATAGTTGGGAAAAGTTCATTGACAGTTCAAAGTAGATGATCTAGAAACTACCTCTTTTAAAAACAAAGGGACATCTACAAAACACAACAATAAGACTGGTACCCAATTTTATTCTAAATAGACTAGAGATTTTTGATCCCTGAAAAAATGACTCCCACAAATAAAAGTCTCCATATACTGCCCATTTTAAGATCTGGCTCGGGAGAAGAACAAAAACATAAAACTACAAAATTAACTCTATCTATGTAGCAGTTGTTTTACTCATTTGATAATGTAGACATAACCATTTGTCAGCGTCCCTGCTAGATACAGAATTATCATCCTTTTTATAAAGAGTAATATTTGCTAGGCCCACACTCCAGTTTCAGATGTCCCAAATCCTGTTCTGCCGTCACGGCCTTCTGAGGACAGGACCGGGGGGACGGGTAGAGGTGTCAGTTCTCACATCTAATCTAGACCCAGGACAGGTGACTCTCTGACAAGATTCCTCACAGGTTTGTTCATGGATTGCTCTCTTCTCAACGTCCTTAATCTTAGAGGGGAAATGAAACTGGAAACTCATTTGCATTTGGTAATATTTTTATAAATAGTGAGACCTCAAATCCTTTGGGAAGCCTGATTCTTGCAAATCTATTCAGACCCCAAATCAGCCTAAGATGGGCTCTCCTTTCTGGAAGGATTGAAAGGTGCAGCGTCCCTCACGTAGGGAAGGATGTGAAGAGAGGTCAGATGGACGTAAGCAGAGCCGGAGGGTCCAGCGTGGCAACTGACATTTTTACAGAAAAGGGTCTATTTTTCTTTTTTCTTTTGGCATGTGTTCCACAGCTTTCCTTTGTTTTTTACTCATCTCGTTGACCAGTCCATTCTGTTTAAATCAAAATGTTCACATTCTAAGTGACACTTTGACTCCAATAGGAAGGAAATATAGATATTCACCTCTTTTTTTCTTATTAAAAATTTGAGCATGTTTAGTAGAAGGTGGTTCTGAGGGAAGTAGACAAGGTTAGTGTTGATAAGAGAGCAGAGTGTTGATAAGAGAGCAGAGTAGAGAGAGACCAGGCAGAGAGAATCATCATAAAAGGTCAAGAACAGGGAGTTAGAGGAGGCAAGAAAAAATTTGTGAGAGGTGTTACTTGCTTCCAGCGAGAAGTTTTAAAGAAATCACTTTATCTTGAAATGTCCAGGAACTTAAGAGAGTTCTGATTAAGCCACAAGGACCATGGCCACGTACCGTCCCTGAGGGTGGAGAGGCATACAAGAGAAGCCTGACAGCAGGGCCTAAGACATGGACGTTACATGAGGAAAAATACTAACCACAGCGACAAACAAATCCAGAGTAAAGGGTAATGTGTTTCAGTGCTATCATCACTTGTTAAGCATTTTTCTCCTCCTTTTGAATGTCTTAGATATGTCTGTATACAAAAGCCATTCCTAAATTTTTTACAGTGCCTAGCAGAGTGTCTTACATGTGATAATTCAATAAATACTTGTCCTGTTATAAGTAACTTGTGCTTTGTTATAAGTAATTAAGAACATGCTTTTATGTACTCCTTTTCAAATTAGCTTAAGCTATACTGTAGTGTCCTCAAAAAGGCTTTGAAATAAGGATTATGGCCAATATCCTAGATTAGGTATCGATGAACAAGCAAGTCAACCTTTTCAAGACATCAGTTACGCCATTTCTATGTGGTTTATATGGAGAGAGCCCAACAAAAGCGTATGATATTGTGTCTATATTTTTCTCTCTTCTTTTTTTTTATTTTAAACCAAGCAGACCTTCCCACTTATAGACCGGTAGTTCTAGATCTTTCTGGGCTCACAGACCATTTTGGTAAAGCAGAAGTGTCAATAGACAAGGTATATTCCACTCCTGAATTCTTAGAGGGAATAGGGAGAGAAGGGACTTTGATGAAATTCCAACAAAGTATTGAACTCATTATTGACTCATGACAGGAACAAAAATAAGGCCATTTTCACGTTATAAACATGAATACAGTAACCTTCATTTGTCCAAAAATTTGTAGATAGCTAGCTGCATTCCCGTCCAGTCACCTTTCTAACAAGAGGCCCTCCAGGATTTATTTATCCTAACAATGAACGTGTTAGGGCACATTGAACCTAGTCTCCTCCACAGTGTCATAAAATGTAACCAATTTGTGAATAAAATCATCTTGTATGTTCACACCATTTTATAATTTTGGTCAATTAATTCATTTAATTCTTAACATATGCATAGGATGATACTCATCTGCCTTCTGAATTAGTGACATTTTACAATATTGTAAGTACAGCTTTAGTAGCAACAATATCTTATTCTATTCAATCATTTCAAAGTTATTACGTGTTGCAGACATTTCATAAGGCTGTTTGCTGAATTCTTCAGGTAACTGCAATAGATTCTTTCTCAAGGATTTTGGACAAATGGAGTTCATTTTATTCAAAGAGATCAACATGAGGATTATCTGAAAGACTCCTGAATACATATATTGACAATCAAAGTTTTAGAGTAACAATATTATTTTTGTCTTCCTCTTCAATAAGACAAATGATTTGGAATTAATTTGTTTTCATGCTTTTCCTTGTTTAAATCCTTGATTTAAGGTAAAATTCTCATCTTCCTGACCACCTGCTTCCTTTGAAATGATTGACATTACCTAATACAGTGGACATTGAATAAGGAATTAGTGCTTACCACGTTTAATTCTTATTGAAATTTGTAGAAATCTGTTCATTTTGGGGACAATGACATCCTAATCTGATGTCTTTTGTAATTTCTGCAAATACTCTAATGAACAGCAGGGGGAGTTCAAGTCCTAGTATGAAGGTAAAATACCTTCTAGTCCAAACCACTTTTATAGGAACACAGCTATAAGATAAAATAGCTTGTTATACTATTTTTAAAAGACCTGAAAACCTAATGTCCTGCCCTCTCCCCAAGGTTGTTGCAGTAAATGTCGCCTGAAAAAGGTATTGCTTCTTAATGGCACCTTTTGAATTTTCTTTTCATATGAAAGAAGTCTGCCAAGTTAGATATTAATTCACTGTGCCATTCTCAGGGCTACGTCTGTGAAAAATATAGCTGCATCCAACACAGTGATAAGTTTAATGACTGCTTTTCACCTTTGAAATTAAACACTGATCACAGTCTGAGGGTGAATGAATGAAAACTAAAGATGACACAATGGAGGGTTAGCATTGAAAAAACTTCTAGACTAGTGGTCAGCAAACCACGACCTGTCAATGTGGCCTGCCGACTTTTTTTTATTGGAAAACAGCCATGCTCATTCTTTTATCCCTGTATATTGTCTATGGCTGTGTTCTCACAATGGTAGAATTGAGAACTTGCAACATAGACCTGGCTGAAAGTATTTACCATTTGGCCCTTTTCCAAAAAAGTTTACTATTCTTGGGCTAGATATTTTATGAAGCCCTGGACAAAATACTTATTCTTCTCTTTTAAAAATTTTAGTTTTTGAATCATATGTTAAAAAGACCTCTTCAACTTTTACCAGTGAGAAAGACACAACTACGAATTTTGAAATACATTCATTCTGAAACTATGAAAACAAATCAGGGAGAAAGAAAAAGCAACACACAATTTTGATTTCTTTTAGCTACAAAAATCATCAAAACATTATTTTCTCCATCTGCTCAAAATTAAAAGACAACCAGCCCCTTTTTTTCTTTTCTTTTCTTTTTTTAACAAAGATAACAAATATAAAAATCTAGTCATAAACAGCCTTCAAAGTACAATTAAAAACCACCTAGAGAGATCCACCTTTTGGAGGGTTAATGAGTTCGGGACTTAAACACTTAAGTTACCGCCATGTCGTCGATTTCACAATGGCTGCAGTGATGAGGAAGAGCGTATACAGCAGATGTAACAGCTAATTCCATCCTGTCGCCATCCAAACTGAACTTTACTCTCTTCAGGATACAAGAACTTATATATGTCTCCATGACACTCTTAGCACAGGTGTCTTCATCCCATATGAAAAGAGGCAGTTTCTATGGCAATACTGGTTAAGTGCCTATCATGCTGCACTAATATAGTGCAAAAATGTGCCTTCCATATAGCAAAAAAGATGCAGGCAACCAGTTTGAAAATTAGGGAAAGTAGAAAGATATTAACACAAGCAAATTAGTTTTTCAGACAATAACCACTAGAAAATACTGAACTTAAGGACTCTTCTAAGGTACTAGTACATGTCCAGCATTCATACTTTGGAGAGAGACAAGAATTAAGTCTTATAAAAGAGTCTTTGCCTCTGAAATGCAGGTCAATAAAAGCCACCATCAACCACCAAGATGCTGAATTTATTCGAGGGGTTTTCTGCTCAGCTTAGAGCTTATCTTTCATTCACCATTAAAATTGCTTATTAACCAGTATCTAATCTGACATAATAATGTGTATCATTCAATTGAGTATACATGTTGTTATGCTTAACTATAGTATTGTAGAGATCTTGGTATGAACTCTTCATGCTAAAATGGTACTATAGGTTAACTGCAGACAGAGGCTTACATTGGGCGTCCTAACTGACCAACTCCACCACCATATTGTAGAGATGAAAGTGAATTGTCAGTTGGTAGATTTCAGAGAAGATCACATAAGACTCTCAGAATGCAGCATGTATTCAACTAAATCTGCTAGAATTCTCAGGGCTGATGGTTTCTATGTAAGTGGTACTTGTCTTGATATCTCCACTGGCACCGTGATTTTCACTCTTTTTATGATGCTCTTTTATAAAGTTACAATGAATTTTAATCCACACAGTTTGAATAGGTTTGTGGCCTCTGGACATCTACTGCAAAGTCAGAAAGCTGACAGTGGCTGTTGCTAGGATAAGTTATATTTTACATGTCTGCATCTCCATCATAGGCTAAGGTTAAAGGTTTCAGTCGGTTGTTTTGCCTTCTTTGGGGTTTCTTTGGCTTTTTGCTGTAAAAAAAAATCATTAAAACCGAGAGAAAGAAAGTCAATCTTCAATTTTAAATTTTATTGTTTTAAATAAGAAATATGAAACATACTGATAAACCTAAATTGCTTAACTGCCTACATTGCCTAAATTCAACCTTAAAATTTCATTTTCTGGTATCTTTGAATTTCTCAGTTTTATGCTCTGAATAAACTCAAAACAGAACCCATCAAATATTTTATTACCCTGTAAAGATGAATTATCGAAAAGAAATTCTTCTAGTCCTAACAACAGAAATAACAGTAGTATCATCATCTACATTTGGCTAGAAACCTTTATAAATAATACATGTTTAGAAAGATAGTTGAATAAGATTAGGTATTACCATAATATTTTCCTCCAGTAGTAATTCAATATAAAAATCTACAGTTCACCATAAGCATATTCTCTTGCATAACCCAGGAGAACGGACTTGACAAGATGACCTGGAATAGCTCTGGCTCATCTTCAGAAATTAAATGGCTCAGATTTGGTAGTTTCTAAACTAAGACTAAAGCTAGGTTTATTTAGAACTTAAGATGAACAATAAATAAATGTGGAATACTTATTTGAGACATTTGTTTGCTGTTCCTATGCTATGGTCAATTGAAAGCATTTCCTCTGAAATAGATTATGTATCCCTTAAATTCTGAAACTTTTAAACACTCACCAAGCTAGATAAATCATGGAGATAATAAAGATGAGTAACACAAATGCCCCAGCTGCTACGCCGTAAACCCAGGTCTTTAGTCTCCCATCTAAGACGAATGGATATTAGTCATTAATTCACATTAGTCTGGTATATATATGACACTCTTTAACTATGACCAATGACCAGTCACATATGACTAAGTCCTTTCAACACTCAAAATGAATGATTACTTAGACACAATTAATGATTACTGAAAAGCTGCTATTATGAATTAGATGCTCCTTCATTAAAGATAAATTATCAATGAAAATGGAGCTTAAAAGAAAGAAATAATGTTTTCAATTCCATTTGAGTCTAGATTTCAAGTTAATATGTTTAAATTTCTACTGCTTATCTGAATTTTACTTCAAATCCTATATATGTGTAATGCTATATAAACATTTTCTTCCAATTTTCATTCTATTTTGAGAATGGCAATTATAAGAACAGAAGAAAAATAATGCGATTCAAGAAAGTCCTACAACTTACAGGTGATGCAGACAGGTATTTGAACATAAACTTTGTCATTTCAATATTTTTTCCAGATGAGTTGAAAGTGAATATATTTGACATTTTTTGGAATTAATAATCTTTTATCCAGTTTACACTTATACGTGCTTTAAAATTGATTCGGCAATATCATTTGCAAAAATAACCAAGTTTGATTAACATATAAAAGGATCTCTAAATAACTTTTTCTACCTTTTCTATTATATGGCATCAGACAGAAAAGCGACTTTTCTAATTTGGCTTTTTGGTCTCATTCTCTTTGAACTTCTCAGTTTTATGTTCTGAATAAACTTCAAACAGAAGATACTACTAATGACTTTGCCTAACTTAACTTGATCCTGACATCAATATATACTTTCAGTTGCATACATACAATTAAACATATGATATTAGTGTTGAAGTTATAGATTGGGCAAATCAACCATACGGAGATTCTGCTTTATTCAATATTTGGAAGGCATCAAAAGCAAATTAGTACTGGGAAGTGTTTTTCCACCTAGAGCTGAATCAACTTAAGGATTCATTTGCTGGAAATAAACAGGCTAGTGTTCTAAATAGCCTTTCTTTTCACATCTAAAGATTTTTAAAATTGTGTCTGGGTTTAAAATCAAGACAGCTGTTCCACTGTTGGGTTTATCTGCCTTGAGGGTTCTTCAACAAATATCTAAAAGTCTAAAGGTACTTTTTTAGAACATGTGCCTTTTTAATACATTAAAATGTTCACTTTAGGAAAACTATATATTAAATTTAAAATGACAATAATAATATTCTCTTTTTAAAAACCAATTTTGATTGAGGAGATCTGCTTGGATTCTTGGTCAAGGTCAAGATTGCTAATGGCCGTTTGCTGGTCCACTGTCTTGCACACTGAGAGAAGAAGAGTTTCCCATGCTTACACAGACAAGTCAGCCTTGCAAAATAAATTTTATTTTTAGCTGAAAACCTAATCAAGGAAGGGATAATGTGGTTAAACATGAGTCACCCAAATATTGAAAATAGTTTAAAAAACCCCAATAGTGATTCTCCAATAAGGGAAAGTGTTTTGACTTAATGCATTAAAAATAGAGATGTGCTAGCTATGCAAATTCCTTCCTTCATTTCTCATGTCTTTAATGGAGCTATAAAGTAGTTTATGCCTGGCTTTGCTTGGAGATTTCCTTTGGTCACAAACTAGTAATCTCTCTAGGATGTGAGAAAAAGTGGCATGGTCTTAGTTACCATATAGCACACATAGCACATTTTTAAGGACCAGCTTAGTTCTATGGGTAAGTGTGTGGTTGAATCAAATGGAGCTAGAAAGTGTACAGAGTAGGGATAGTATTTCGTGAGGCCCTCAAACTTTTGCCTGTATTGGGTTCAAGTCCATTACTAGACACATTAAGAGCTGTCCATTTAATACGACAAGGTCTGATCAGTCTCCAAGTTTAGATTGTCCCATTTAGACAGGGAAGCTCCATCCCTGCCCCTGTGTGTCTGGTGCTAGTATAGACTGAGCACTTGAGTGTGTCAGCTCCAAGGGCTGAAAGAAATTGGTCTGGCTATCCTGTGTCCCCCAGACAGCACTGAATTCCTGATGTTCCTATTTAAGGTTCAAATTATTACTGCTCTGTGGTCAAAGGAAAAATTCTTGTACATCTTTATAGTTTTATTTGTTCCAGTTATGAATGACTGAATGAATATGCTTTTTTCTTAATATTTTCATTGTGAGATTTCTTTGTTCAATGTGAAATAATTATATTTGTAAGCTTAGGACTGAAATTGAAATAAGTAATATCAATCCCAAAATTTTTCTCAGAAGGAAGTAATTTCATTTCTCTGAACTTTGAGCAGGAGTGCTTTCTTCATAATAGTAGTAAAAAAAAAAAAAAGGAACATATGGCAGTATCAAAATAAATGAGTACAGATGAAATAATAAGTAGCTCATATGAAAATGCGTGTTCATTTTTTAATCCTTTGGTGTTGGTTAAATGTATAACTAAAGAATTTTACATCAGCGCTGTCTAGTCACTTCACCTGGCCCAAAAGGCTGTAGAAACCAGGTTCTCCCCCGTCCTGTTGGGCTACTGGAGGGTTGGGTTGGATGTACTGCCCGACTGGTTTTCACATCTCCTCTTTTGTCCTCCATGGTGGGTATCACCACCACAGGAATAAGTGTGCATTGCTCAAGTGTACCATTAGAAGACATGACTTCGGTGTACCCTTCTTCACAACTGCATGTCCTCGTCTGCGGGAGAACAAGAAGATTTCTACTGTACATGCAAAGTGATCTTTGAAAGCATAACAGATCTGACTTGAAGAGAAGGCTTTAAAGGAGTATTGTTTTGAGAATTTACTACAGGTAATTTCTGTTTTAACCACAGAAAAAAGAACACACTGTCTGTACCGCATACAACTTATTCTAACATTAGAAGCAAGTGCATTCAGAATTGTTTATATTGGTAAAAGGAGAGGTCCAAAAATAGAATTTTTATGCCTCAAGACATGCTTTCTTTTGGGAAATGGATTGCATAAGAGGCAGTGGGGTGACAAATGATGAAGCTAGCTTGTCTACCCTAATGAATTCACACATACCTCGCTACAGTACGAGTGGGGTTGACTACACGGTGGGTTACAAGACCTGTCAGCATCAGGCTGGCGCACCACCAAGCAGCCCCCTGCAGAACAAAAAATCATATTTTGACAAGTAGCATCTCTTGCAATGATAAAAATACACTGCTGTTTTAAATTTCTCTTTGAATCCTGAACCACTTTGGGAATCCCACAGACTTTTCTGAGGGCGGTTGACTGTGAAATATTTGGTTGACCTTGACTACTTTATTTAGGAACTTGAGGCCTTTCTTATTCATAGGAGACAGCACAGTGCCTGACGCTTAGCAGGTGGTCAATAAGCATTTGCTGAACGGATAATTTTATAGTTGCTACTCTGAAAATAATAATTGCACACAAGCTGTTTCTGTCATAGTTTCTGAGGCCAAATCCAGCATTAAAAGGCAGAATTAATTTCCCTTCAAAGTTAAAATTCTTTCTTGGCTATTCATGAAATAGTTTTCATGTTTCTTGAGGTGTTTCTTAATTTATTTGACTACTAAATAAATGTATTTTTTTCATAATGCATAGTTCTTTTTAAGAAAATCTCTATTCTTGATAACAGAGGATTTTTGGGGTAAAGGAAAGAAGACAAATGTGGCTGCTAAGTGATGTGCTTGCACTATTGTTTCAACTTGACTTTGCCTCTCTCCTTCTGCTTCCTTCTTTTTGAAGCTAGTACCAAGTGTGCCGAAGTTGTTAGAGGTGAGGTTTTAAGAAGAGACTAGATGTCATAAAGAAGCAATACTGGTGATATGGAAGGAACTCATAGTTTCAAACCATACTTGTTCAGTTTAACAGAATTTTAGCAAAATTTTCCCTTTATTTATGGGATCGATAATCCTCTGGAATTTAGTCAAAGGCGGCTATTGTTAATTCTTTGCCTTATCTCCCAATATTATAAACAAAATATTCAGAGAAAAATTGTAATGGAAAAGTAGTTAGTCATTGTAAGACAACTGCAATTAAATGACCATATTGAAGTTATGATGATCAAACACATGAAGAAAAAGGAAAACAACATCTTGAGATTCTTACAGGGACAACTATTCATAAAATTAAAACAATTAGTCAAGGTAGGTAATATACTTTACATGCCTGTCTATTTCTCATAAAGAATGTCATTGCTCCTAAAAGATGGAAGAAGAGTGCACAGAGAGTTTATCGCAAATCATTTACACATTGGTTTTTTAGTGTCAAACAGTATTAGAAAGAAAGAAATACGTTGGATACTCTACTGTATTGGAAAGAAATTGAAAATATGATTTCCAAGGTAAATCTTTTAAAATTTGACTTATCTTTGCGTTGGAGAATAGCCCCAATTTCAGTGGGAAAATGGCTTTTAACATGTAGAGAAAAACCAGATAAGTATTATTTGCATCCATATTTGAAAAAAACCCAGAAAATTAATAGGACCCTCTGGGGAAGCTGTAAAATGCCTTCTGAATAGTTCAATGAAGAGTGTAGACATTCATCTTCAACATCTGAGAGGAGTGGACCAGCTCTATAATGCCTTTGAGTTTGGAAAGCCTGTGCTTCTCTTCCCAGAGCTTCTCCCCTACACTTCTTGGACTGCTGTGGTTGGAACTGCTTTTTCTCCCAGAAAATACTACTAGGAGAGAGTAAAGGTTTCCTGGCAGGTATCTTTTCTTTGTTATACATGTGTCCACTGGGAATTGCTATTACCAAGGGTTTCTTAATACAGATTTCTCATGTATAAAATCTTATCTTCTCAAGACTACAATTTGACATCCTGCTCCAGCTTTCACAGGGAGGAAATAAGTAATTAGGTTTCAATAATCCAGGTAATTTAAAATTCAATACAAAAATTGATGCTTTCCAAAAAAATTGATCCCTACTCCTATTATCTCACTGTATGTATTACAGCTAAATTTATAAATGGACATTACTCAGAGGCACCCAAATGCACATTACTTTTTCTCCCTGTCAGAAGGTCAACACAATGGCTGCAAGTCAGCAGGTTGCCCTGAACAGTTCACTGTGTACTCATGCTGCTGCTGTGCTATGAATCAAGAGATTCCTACGGATTCAAGCTATAAAAATAAACTGTTTAAGGAGACACATTAGATCTTTGGGTCCATATGCTTGAGGTGGAGGTTCTGGATCTTTCTTTCCAGGAAATCTGCAGGATGGTTTACTACCTATCTGGAGCCAAGTTTCTTCCCTCTTCAAAGGGTCCTTGGCATTCCTTGCATTTACTGAGCTCAGATGGGGACACATTAGTAATTGCAGATTAGAGTAGTTGTTTAGGCTATATTTGGGTAAAAGGACATGCAAAGTTTTTCATTTGTATTTCTTCTTTGTCTGTATAATAATTTTTGAGTGTGGACAGAGTGCATGAGCTGCTCAGATGCTCTGGGTTTGGGATTTACCAATAGGTCTTCCCTACTAATTAATAAAAACAATAAGCCACAGATTTCTGAATTCAAGCAAGATATTTGGATTTGTATAATCATATTCCTTTGGTAATATTTTTTATCTGCATGTGTATCGCCTTTAAGGCACAGAAACAGATATAGTCAATAAAACATTGATTTTTTTAGCACATAGTGAGTTATTAATAAATAAAATTTCTAAGAAAAACAATCTGAGAGGGGCTGGCCCTGTGGCCGAGTGGTTAAGTTCTCGCGCTCCGCTGCAGGCAGCCCAGTGTTTCGTTGGTTCGAATCCTGGGCGTGGACATGCCACTGCTCATCAAACCACGCTGAGGCAGCGTCCCACATGCCACAACTAGAAGGACCCACAACTAAGAATATGCAACTATGTACCTGGGGGCTTTGGGGAGAAAAAGGAAAAAAATAAAATCTTTAAAAAAAAAAAATCTGAGAATTATTACTTATAACAATCATTTATTAAAGCTAGAAAGCATTTTAATTTAATAAATTCTAGCAGCATGGTCTAAAATGCTAGAACTTAATTGAAACATTATAATTTAAAATAATTTGTCATTGGTCACCAGACAGACAACTTAGGTGTCCTGAATCCCAACCATGTGTTGAATAGTGAAAGAATATCTTTATTTCCTTAATTATTTTCTTTAGCCAATTACATGTGTATTATAAGAAGACTTTCAAAGAACAAAGAGAAATGACGGTTTACCTGTTACATTTACACCATCTGACCTTTGACACCAGACTGTTCGGGAAGAGCCCTTCCAAGCACTAGCCATCCATTTATATTCATAACACTGTCCATCTGCAGGGACACAATAAACATTAACAGACGCATTCTGCTCTCCAGAAGGACACTCATGGAGATAGAGTATTAATAAAATAATTACAAACATTTGAAAATTGATAAGAAATCCATCTCAAATGATTCAATTGCTAATTTATTGTCTTGAAGTTGCCCTATAAGTGTTACATAATTCCAGATATATACCTAAATCCCAACTAATTTACCATGTCTGCTGTCATACTATCTGATGTGAACCTGGATTTCTAATTTAATTTATGTTTTATTTAACATATTATGAAATATCAAACATTCAGACAAGGGTAGAAAAGAACTTAAAAAATATTCAATTACCCGTCGTGCAATTATAACAAATATTACCATTTAGGCACATTTGCTTTAGATTTCTTTTGCTTATTGATGAGCAAAAAATAACAGATAAACTTGATGTCCTGTTATATTCCTTCCCGATCTGATCTCCCTCTCTGTCTGTCTAGCAATACCCAAATCTGAAGTAGATGTATGCCTTTCTGTGCCACGGTTTTTATTCTTATATTGTGGTCTGGTGGTTAAGAGTCAGCGCTCTCACCGTGGTGGCTTGGGTTCCTTTCCCAGCCAGGGACCCAGCACACCTGTCTGTCAGTTGTCATACTGTGGCAGCTGTGTGTTGCTGTGATACTGAAAGCTATGCCACCAGTATTTCAAATACCAGCAGAGTCACCCCTGGTAGACTGGTTTTCAGCAGAATCTTCCAGACTTAGATGGACTGGGAAGAAGGACCTGGCCACCTACTACTGAAAAAATTGTGCATGAAAACCCCATGAATAACAGTGGAGCGTTGTCTGATGTAGCACCGGAAGATGAGATGGCGCAAAAAGATGGCAAAGGGTTCCGCTCTACTCTACACAGGGTCACTAGGAGTTGGAATCAACTCAACAGCACTAACAATTATCTATCCATCTATATCTATCTCTCTATCCATAAATGAAATATAGTAGTATTAAAATTTTAAAAAGTATCATCATCTATGTATCATTCTGAAACTTAACAGTCAGTGTTACAGATGAAATACTTCTATGTGATTTTTTTAACGTAGACATAGTCCATCTATTTTAACTGCTATATAGAATTCCATTCCACCAAATACCACAACGTATTCAGCTGATTTCCCCTCTGGGTGGCCTTTTAGGTTGTTTTCAATTTTTGCTATGACCGCAGTGCCTCAGTGGTCAACCTTGTGCAATTCTCCTCGTGCTCTTTAAGGTAAATATCGAGAAGGGAAATTTCGGGGTATCACTAGGGATAGCTGAAACTTTACTAAATATAGCTCATTTATTTTTTACTCCAAAAGGTGACAATTCACCTACCCACTAGCAGCAAATAGGGGTTATCATTGCTCTAAACCCTAAGGAACATTTATAATTGCCGGATTTTAAATTATTGGTCAGTCTTGTGGGTGTGGAAAGTTATCATGTTATTTTATATTGCAGTTCTTTGCTTATTAAAGCTATTAAACAGTAACAAAAATGTTTGGGGGCATTTAGATGTCCTCTTAAGAGAATTGCTTATTTATATTTTTTGGATATTTTTTCCTACTGAAATCCATGCCTTTTCTCACTGAATTGTGGGAATTCTTTTTTGTATGTGTGTGTGAGGAAGTTTGGCCCTTAGTTAATATGTGTGCCAGTCTTCCTCTATTTTATGTGGGATGCCACCACATTGTGGTTTGATGAGCAGTGCTACGTCTGTGCCCGGGGTCCAAACCTGTGAACCCGGGGTCACTGAAGCAGAGCACGCAAACTTAACCACCATGCCACCAAGCCAGCCCCAAATTGTGGGAATTCTTTATTCTAGAATAGCAATTCTCAAAGTATGGTCCAGAGATCCTGGGAGACTTTGCCATTCTCTCAGCATGCGTGTGTGTGAGGATTTCTCCCTTTCAACTACACATCTGTGTGAGTAGGGCTGGATTTTCTTCATATGCATAAACTAAAATAAAATTGCAGTTGATTGAATGCAGAAGCAGCTAAGAGAATTCAGCTGTCTTCCCTTAAGCCAGTATTATAGAGATTTGCAAAAACATAAAACAAGACCCCACTTGTTATTAAAGTTATTTTCTTTACGTTTTGGAAAATAGCTCTTTTTTCAGCATGTATGTTATTTACGGTAACATACACCTGGTTTATGGTTATTTTAAATAATAAATATTTTAAAATTTATCGGTTTTAATTTTAATTAATGGTAAATTTTGAAATATATTTTTCACAAAAGAAAATCAGTTTGGGGTTCTCAATTTTAAGAGTATAAAATGGTCTTGGACCAAAAACTTTTAGAATTATTGTTCCAGATACTAATCCTTTGAAATTAGTTGACTTCACAAATATCTTTTCTAAGTCTGTGTCCTGTCCAGTAACCTTGTTTATGATCTATTTTACTCTGCAGAAGATTTAAATTTAATATAAAAGAATTTTTAATCTTTCCCGTTTTTGTTTGTGGTTTAGGTGTCGTATTTAGTAAATCCGTCTCTATCTTGAGTTCATACGATACTCTCCCATATTTTCTTTAAATGTTTTACAGTTTTCCTCTTCACTTTTAGGTCTATAATTTATCTAGAATACAGTTTTGTATATGGTGTGAGCTAAAGATATTTTAAAAAACTTTATATGGATAACAAATTGTCACAACTTTATTTATCCACTCACTCTCCCCGACTTTCACCTCTGCCACTTATCTATATATGAGAATTTGTTCCTGAAATTCTTTATTCTGTTTCATTAGTCTAATTGCTTTATTGTTGAACAGTCACTCTTTTTTTTTTTTCTTTTTTTTGAGGAAGGTTAGCCCTGAACTAACATCTGCTGCCAATCCTTCTCTTTTTGCTGAGGAAGACTGGCCCTGAGCTAACATCCATGCCCATCTTCCTCCACTTTACATGTGGGACGCCTGCCACAGCATGGCTTGCTGAGCAGTGCCATGTCCGCACCCAGGATCTGAACCGGTGAACCCTGGGCCACCAAAGCAGAACCTGCGAACTTAACCTCTGTGCCACTGGGCCGACCCCACACTCTTTTTTGTTTTGTTTTTTTTGAGGAATATTAGCCTTGAACCAACATCCGTGCCCATCTTCCTCTACTTTATATGTGGGACGCCTGCCACTGAATGGCTTGATAAGCAGTGTGTAGGTCCGTGCCCGGGATCCTAACCAGTGAACCCTGGGCCACCGAAGCAGAACACGTGAACTTAAGTGCTATGCCACAGGACCTGCCCTGACCAGTCACTCTTTTTAAACTATTAATGCTTTAGAGCATATCTTGATACAAAGTCATGTAAGTCCCTTGACCTCCTCTCCTACTTTTTCTTCGTAAAATAATTCTGGGCTCTTCTTGGTCTTCGATCCCTTCATATTAATTTTAGGATCAGCTTCTCAGATTACATTAACAGTCTGTTCAGATTGCATGGAATTTATAGATAAACTGGTGTAAAATTAAGACCTTATGGAACTGAGGGTTTTATCCATGAACATGTCTATTTCACTGTTTTATGTTTTTTTAAAGTTTTCTTTATGTCCTCCAATAAGATTTCATATTTTTCCATACTATCTTACATTGTTTTTGTTAGATATATTTCTACTTACAGTTTTATTTTGATTGTTAATGCATTTTTTCTAATTAAATTTTGTAATTGAGTCTTACTGGTCAAAGAAAGATTAATCATTTTGTACATTGGTTTTAACTTGTATGATTCTGACTCTCTTCTTACTTCCAAATACTTGTCCATAAATTCTCTCGAATTTTGTAATGTGAAAATCATATAATATGTGAGTGATGATTTATTTTTTCCTTTTCAGCTATTAAACTTCTGATTATGCTTTGGCTAGAACCTCCTTTACTAGGGTGGAAAGAAGTGGCAATAGTGGGCATTCTTGTTTTGTTATTGATTGCAAGGGAATGCCCCTAATGTTTCCTCTTATATCATGACGTATTCTGTCAGTTTTGGTAGATATCATTTCTTAGGTACTGGATTTCTTTCTAGTTTAAATTTAGTTTGCAAGTTTTTATTGTGAATTAATGTTGAATTCTATAAACACCTTTTCAATGCATAATAAACAATCATATGCATTTTTCTGTTAATATAATGCATTACATTAATAGATTTTTCTAATATTTAGGCATCTTTGTACTTCTAGAACTAATCATAATTAGTCATGATATTATTGATTTGGTTACCCAATATTTTATCTTTTATGATTTTGACATCTCTTTTCATTGGTGACTTTATTTTTATTGACTAATTTTACCGTCAAGTTATACTATCATAGGAGTTGGGGAGATTATCCTCATTTTTTTTCTCACTCTATTTTATTTCTTAAGATTTCACATAAAAGGGAGTAGTCTGTTTCTTTAAATTTTAGTAAACTCACGTTTAAAGCCATTTAGGATTCAGTTTGTGTGCATGTGTGTGTAAATATTTAATAGAGTTTTAATAGTTATATAATCCATGGTTTAGATTCTCTATTACTCTTGATAAATTATAATAACATTCTAAATTGTCTTCAAGTTTTTACATTTATTAGCAAAACTTGTTCACAGAATTACAGTTTTCTAAACTTTATTTTATTTGTAGTAGTACTGATTTTGCTCTTTTCTTCTTCAGTGATTTTGCCATGAAGTGGTCTATTTTGTCAGTTTGGTCAAAAAATAAGCTATTGGTCTTGTTGATTATCTTGTTTCTTTGTTTTTTACCTCATTGGATTTATATTCATTTGTATTAGGTATATTCTATTTCCTTTATCTCTTTTTAAAAAACAATTTCTTGAGTTGAAAGCTTAGCTCACTTTAGACTTTTCTTCCTCCTACGTGAGCATTTAAGGCTTTACGTTGTCTTCTAAGTACTTCTGAGCTGCATCCCACATACCATTTGATACATAATGCTCCAGAAGTGTGGGTTTCAGTCTTTACTTCTGTGTGTGCATGGGGGCTTTCTTTTGCAATTTTTGTGTTCTGATTTTATTTCATTGTCATTTCTAGTGGACAAATGTCTTTTTCCTTGGGAATTACTTCATGTATTGTAACCCCTGACCTTTCTCTACTTATTTACCTACACAGTCCCAGGACATATGGAATGTTTTATCTGGTTGGTAAGTTTGGGAAGATTCAAGTGAGAAGGTGGATAATTCCATCCAGTTCTCGGATTAAGTCATCTCGCTCATTTGGCTTTCATTCTAAGTATTCTTCTCCAACATTCTAAGTTTTCTTCTCCAACTTTTCAGTAATAAAGGTGATATTTTGGCTCTTCATTGCTATTATATGACGTACTTAATTGTTTCAGAACACAAGCAGGAAGGGGAGAGTTGTTTGTTGAGCCCTACACTCTCCACTAGATATCAGTTCTTTTGTTTTTATTTAGACTTCCTCTATATTCCAAAACTATGACATTTTAATGCCCTATGGTTCTTGAAAATGTCGTGTGTTGCTTACATTGGGTGCGTGGCTCTATATGTGTGTACACATACACATAGACATATAAACATGTATGTTCATATACGTTGTATGCCAAATTTAGGTTAATTCTTACCAATGCTTCGACTTATCAATTCCTGAGAATATAGTAAAAGCTCTCATTTTGCTGTATATTTCTAATTTTTCTTTGTTTCTTTTGATTTAAATAAATTGAGGATATTGTTAGATTCATACATGATCAGGATTGTTATAGGTTTACAAATAATGTGCTCCTAATTATCTCAGTCATTTTTAGCTCATAAAATTGTGAAATACTATTTACAATATTTCATATCTAATTTATGAAGCAAGGCAATATTTTTCTTCCTCTAAATCTTTAGAATTCAGAATCATACCCTTAATTCAATTTTCAGCCTTAAGTAACATCTTAGCAAATTTGCTTATTTAACAGAAAATTCTGTATCTTATGCTTTTGCCTATCATCACAAAACTAAAATGAACAGATTTCATGAATTGTAGCACTCACCATCACAGGATTTTGTTTCTAACAGTTGCTCTGGGCACAGATGCTGATTTTCTAGTTCTTGTATAATCACAGCTCTGGAACGGACCTGAATTCCACCAAAGCCTAGGTCCTCACCGTTCACACAGGTCAGCTGACACAGGCTCCACGAAGACCAGTCCTTCAAGTAACAGTCACCTGCAAAACACAGGTTTATAGTTTATACTTATATCCATAAAGACTAGCTAGCCAGACAGTCATTTTATTTTTTAACCCCACTGGGCAACGTTTTTAAGTATGCCAGTCATACATGATATTTGTAAAATTTAGGTAAGTATTTAATATTTGCAAGTTTGTATGTAGTTTTATAAATGTGTATTAATATTGTTATTTTCTCAGTGTATGTTATTTGGTATAGACTATGTGTTGCTTAATAATATTAAATGTAAACTATGGCTTGAAGAGCTTGTCCATTATGATTCACCTCCTCTTAAGAGACAACAAATACTTGGTTAAAACTTACCAGCACGCTGTCATTCTCACTGTAAAGAGGTTTATTAAGCACTTGGTACTGTTTAATGAAAATCTAAATATATGTAAAACTTGTCTCCTAGGTAGTCAGAATTTCAAAAGAACTTGAAGTCTAAGGCTGAGAAAGCTGGCATTTATGTTTTATTTCTATTTCTTCTCAGAGGCACGGAGGCAAGACAGCCAACTGAGCAGCTGCAGCAGTGCCAATAATGCTTGTCATTTCATCTGATCAACATCTTCAATCAACTTCCCCTTTTTTCAATCATTTATTGAAGAGTAATATACATGCAAAATGATCACATATCATAAATGCTGAATTTTCACAATCTGATTACATACCCATGCAACCAACATCCAAATCAAGCCACAGAGTATTCTCAGAATCTCACAACCCCCCTCATGTTATATATTGAACTGTACCATATGTACATATTTTTAATATCTGATTTCTTTCACTTGTTTTTGTTTGTTTGTGAGATCCATCATATATTTATGTAGTTCTACTCTGTTCATTCTTACTGCTATACTTTACTGTATGAATGTACCACAATTTAGATATCCATTCGACTATTGATGGGCATGTGGGGAGCCGCAAATTTTTCCTATTATGAATACTGCTGTTGTGAACATTTTAGTACGAGTCTTCTGGTGAACTTATTTATGCATTTCTATTAGGTGTATACCTAGGAGTGGAATTGCTGGGCCACAGTGTATCATGAGTTCAACATCAACATCATTTTGAGAAGAGGGAAGATTTAGTGAAATATGCCTTTCCCATACTCATCCATTCTTCAGGACTGACTGCTTCATGATACTGATCAGAAGATAGAGCAAATTATGAAAGAGACAAATCTAAGGGGTTCTTACCATTTTAACTATTCTAGCCATATCACTTGAATAATTCATATTGCCTTTTATTATGCTTAATATTAGCACAAAGTTGCCTGGAGACTGATTAATGAAAAAGCTTTTTGTGCCACGATGAGGAAATCTTGGCAAGACACGAATTATTGACTAACAGATACATGCATAATAGTAAAGTGGAGTGATTTTTGTAGATCTTTATTATAGTATGTCGTGATTACTCTATTTAATGTCATCCAGAAGTACAGAAAATTCTAGTAAATTTTAGAAGTGTTAAGGAAAAAAATAACTAGTAAGAAGTTTTAGGTAGTGTAAAAAAGTTTTAGAAACATTTCTATCCTACTTTTGGGTTACTCAGTTTTTAATTATGCCAGAGACACTATTAAAATTGAAATAAAAAATTCTTGTCAATAAGAATTTAATATAACTTCACCACAGTGTTTACAAACTACAGGGAAATAAAACAGACCTTTTTAGTAGCAGGCTTTACCTCTGTGCTGATATCACTTGACATAGTGTATTTTGCAACAAAACTCAATAAATCTTTTAATGGTAGTCTGTGAATTATATAATTATCACCCGCAAATAATCCATGTCAGGCTTCAAAGATTTAATAACAGAAAATGAGAGCAAGGCATTGCCTTGTACTAAACATACTTTCATATTTTGACCATTTAAACCATTGTAATAACAAAACTACACTATGCCTACCAGAGATATAACAATTAAGTGTATGAAATGCATTTCCTACTTCAGTGTTTTACTCTTTACAGCTTATTAGCTCAATATTGCTAGCCTTCAAAACCCATCATTGGAGAAAACTAGCAAGAGAGGAACAGAAATGAACAGATAGTAACTTAGAAGAACAGCTTCCTCTTGGCTTTGTAATTTCTTTAATTGGAATGGTGTGTTTGCCCTGTTTTATGTTACTATGGATCTTGTAGTTTTCCTTCACATCACTTACTGCAGATTTCAATCTTATGTTTATTTATGTTGCTATTGGATTAGCAACTGTCTCTTCCATTAAGAGGTAAACTCTATGAGGACAGGGTGTGTTTGTCTCCCACTGTATCTCCAACCTTGAGCCCCTACCTGGCCTACAGTAACACTTGACAAATAATAGTCAAACGAATGGGTGATGGTGCTGCAGGAAGTATAATGAAAACAAGTGGGGAGACTCCACAGTGAAGTATACACCGATGTCTGGCAAGGATGCCAGTTCTGTTCAATGTCATGGGTGTCACAACGATCCTATTATTTGCACTGGAGATTTGGTTTTGGAATAGGTAGGTCTTCCAACTCTTAGCTTTGGTCAACTTTTGCTCACTATGTGGCTATTCAGCACCTCAAAGCCCAAAGGTCCAGACATTGGCCCTGTCCAGAGGCCTCACCTGCTGCCACAGCCTCAGCCTTGGTCTGCTGTGATCCAAAAGGATTGTACTAAATCGGGTTGTGTGTGAGATCTGGACTGAAATCAGACCAGGTGGGAGAGCAGGAAATGGGACAGGGGAATTGCTGGATAAGGAAGAGGTTATCATCAACAGGTGTGGGAATGTCTAAGCAGCAACAGTTTGTGTAGGTCTAGAAAGGCAGATTTAAAAAAAAAAAATTTATTTATTAACCTGAAGTAGATGAAAATATTAATGTAATGATTACTACAGTTGAATATATTCAGTGAGGAATGTCCTCAAAGTTTAGCAAATAGTTCAAAGTATCAGGGGTTATTTTACTTACTGTTTTGTTCAGTTTTATTCCATTCATTTTAATAATAAACTATAAGAACTAACATTATTATCACCTCAAATAATTTACTTACTAAAGAATGAGTAAATTGATGAGTGAATGAATGAGCAACCCACATTGTCAGCTTTCCCAGCTTTTAGGGACTTAATCCCACTTAATTTTTTTTGAAAATATGTAAATTATCCATCTTTAAAATTTTCATAAATTATATCCTTTTTATATAGAAAGTCTATTTTATGCCCAATCAGTGTTTGTTTACCAAATCTTTACTTTTATTCCTTTGAGATCTTATTTGAAGTAACACATTTCTTAAAGAGATATATATTTTCTGGTGGTAATTATAAGCAAATTGAGAGAATAAAAATTTTCCAATTGAGGGTAAAATATAGGCAATTCACTTCCAATCTTGGTCTTTTCTAGTCCACTAATAAACTGTTGCCTCATATCTTTCTCAAAGCCTTAGGCTCATGCTTGACATTGACCTTATTTTGATATTCTATCTACCCTAAAGTTCTTTGCGTCAAGCCCAAATTCCTAAATATTAGCTTATCGCTATCTGCCAATTATTTCTAAACTATTTGATATACAATATTTGCTGTCCACATTTTACTGCATGCCCCCCTGGTGCCCAACATTGAATTGGAATGATTTCTTTCAATATTTTCTTCCATAATATTATTTTTCTCACTCTTGAATGATAATTTAGCTGGGGATAGAATCTAAGTTGATGATTATTTTCCATCACACTTTGCATATACCCCATTGTCTTTTGGCTTTCTTTGTAACTAAGAAGAATTCTGTTATCATTCTAATTGATTGTCTTCCAGTTGCAAGTAATCTGCTTTTTTCTTTCTGAATGCTTTACTAATTCTCTACTTTTCTACATTTTATGTTTTAACTACAGTGTATCTAGATATGAATTTGTCATTCATTCTACCTAAAAACCAAAGTAAGCTTCCATTACAGGGACTTAAATCTTTCTTTACCCATGATGTGTTTGAACACTGCCTCTCTCTTATTCTCTATTCTCTTCCTCTGAAAATCCTAAATAGATGCATGTTCTATCATTATTTTCTCAACTTTTCTTTCATACTTTCCCTGTGAAGCATGAGCCTAAGGCCTTAATTGCCATCTCCGGTAGATGTTAAAACTCCAAGGGGGTGGGTGTCAACAGAGGCCACATGGGAGACCTGGACTTCATCCCCAACTGGTGGTCACAAGGCAGTGCCTACCCCCTTCATCCACACTACAGTGTCTACCAGTGGCACAGATATTACTGAATGAGAAGACTGACATCCCTTAACTTAGACTATAACTGCAACCATTCCTTGACCCTAGTCCTGGTAAGAACTGACCAAAATGTGAATTCTGTTTTGCTGTTGCTACCTGGGCAAGGCTGGGTACAGGTTTCCTCGAGAACCATTTTCTTATTGCCATCTATAATAGGTTCAATGTCAGTACAGAATTCTTCATCCACCACTTTGCTAAAATCTTCAGCTGACCCATCACTCACTACACAGGAAATGTTCCTTGTTCTGGTCCCTTCACCACACTGGGCATCCTGGAATGGGGGAAGAAATAACTAATTAGGAAAAGAAAAATAGTTCATTAGTAAGCTCATCACTTACAGTCACCACCGCACCAGTGATTTGATTTATGAGCAGCGAAAGAAGCACCTGAAGCCCTAGGGAAGAAGTCCTACAGAGCATTAGCTATAAAGCACACAATGAACAATTTATTTGTTTTCTAGCCGAAGACAGGTAAATAAATTTTCATTAAAATGAATCAGTCTCCAAAAGATTTTAACAATACAGGACAGGGAGTGCTTATTATCAAAACTAATTAAACAGCTATGAAATAGCAACACACCTAAAATCTTTGAGGAAACATGCTATCTGTAAGCTCTGAAAAATATTTATGAAATCATCTCTGCAGATAAAGAATACAGTTGTATATTGCTTAATAATGGTGATGTGTTGAGAAATGCATCATCAGGCGATTTTGTTTTTGTGTGAACATCATAGAGTGTACTTACACAAATCTAGATAGTATAGCCTATGACATACTTAGGCTATTTGGTACTAATCTTCCAAAACTGTCATACATGCAGTCCACTGTTGATTGAAACGTTGTTATGGACTATACACGTTTCCATATGACTTCCTGAGATTTGATACCTGTACTTGGCATGGAGACCACTGGCCATATTGCCAACGGTAACAGGGCTTCACTGGGCAAGGCTTGGACTGTTCCATCAGGGCAGGGCATGGTCTTCCATCACCCTGAAAGGGCTGGGTCACTGTTCGTCTTCGGATCATTTTTCCTTTAAGAGATACAAAAGTGATGCAACTTCAGTGATACGTCATAATTGCGCAAGCATATATCTTGTTGGGAGAAGGCATCACAGACACTTTTCTTGAGGAGATCTGAGGAACAAGTAAGGCTCAGATGTTTTGGAAAGAAAGACACTCTGATTCAAACTTTTTGAAGATTACTTGATATGACTTAAAGCAAGAGTGACATTTTATTTGACATTCTTTGACTATTAGCGTAATGCTAATTAAGGTACAAACAAACCTGTGAGGCCACATGTTTGCGAACACTCTGACCAAGGAGACCAATCGGAAAGCTGACAGTTCACAGGGCATTCCACCACGCAGGATGTGTTCATCTGCCAGTTCTTCTCCAGGCCAAGCTGAAAGGATAGAGGTAGACCTGTTTGTACTGACACAGAGGCATGACCACAATATATTGTTGATGGAAGGAGGGAGGGAGGGAGGGAGGGAGGGAGAGAGACAAAGGGGAATGAGAGGAGAGGAGAGGAAGAACAAGAAAGATGCATAATAGAATACAAAGATATCTGCAAGACAAACACCTTCACTGTTAAAAACATAAAGTGTTCAACCCAGGGGAGTGGGAGCAAAGGGCACAGGATGAATGGAGGAGCCCATTTACTCAATATACTTATATATTGTTGAACTTCTTCAATAAGCACTGAAAAAAAGTAGATTTAATCTTCAAATTGGTTGCATTTCCCCAAATGAGGAACAAATAAATGTAAGCACGATTATTTTCCATTAGTTAAAAACCAAGAATATTATCAACATACAGATCCATAATTGCATCTTTGGGGTATTATTTATTTTTACACATGCATGTTAAACTGAAAAGCAAAAGGGAAAGGTTATAAAGACAAATTGTCACTCAAAACTAATGCTGTAATGTATTGAAATAATATAAAATAGCAGTTTTTAAGTAAGCTCTCTCTCTCAGAAGGAAATGTGGGCCATTAGAATTTTTTTGATTATGAATATTTTATATACATTTATTTATTTTTTTTTTACAAAGACTTTTCTTTTCTAAAACTGATCTGAGCAGCTAACTCTGGTATGATTCAGTTAATTTGGTGTTAGCCACACATCAAATAATAATATTGTGCTATTTTACTGGCATTAAGTTTGACTACTTACCATTTAAGTATTCTACTTTTAAAATATAAGATGAGATTTCAAACCCATCTACTGTATATGCAAACATTTTAAAAGTCTGAGATGCAATGTCACACTGAAATAGAAAAATTTAAGAGCTTGTTGGAATACATTTTTTTTATGGGTAATCCTTGGGATTTTCAAGACCTTTTTAATTTCTGCATGAAAGAGAAGTTTATAGTGTCTAATTTATACAGCAGAAGATGGCAAAAGAAAGTTTTTCTGAAATGTCGTGTTGTGGTTCAAGCATAGCTCTTGGCTCTAAATTATCCACCGAGAGAGGATCAGATCAATGATTTGTGTATGGCATCCCTCTGCCGGCACTCCCATTACATTCTCCACCAGCAATACTTGACGATGATGAGTATTTGGTATGAAAACTTTTACTATATCACTTAATTAAAGTCTTACAAAGTCACTTAAAATCATGGGAGGTTGAAACAGGAATCTTAAGGTGATATGATAAAAAACGATCTTACATTTAACAGTAGATAATAGTTTCATGGAGAGAGGATTTAAATCACTGAGTTCAACTACTACTGACATTTATTTCACTAGAGAGTTAAAAAGGACGTCTGTTTACAGACATTCTGGGTCTCCAGTAGTAAGACATTTTAACCCTGTACTACTTCTTTTCCTTACATTTATTGTCTCTCTCTCTTTTCTATCTATCTATCTAACTAACTGTCTGTCTGTCTGTATATCTATCTATCTACCTATCTGTCTAATCCATCATCATCATCTAAACATATGTGACTAAGTAAATGCAAGGAAATCTGTTCAGGGATCAAAGAAGAGGAAAGGAAAAACCAGTTACTAGGTATCGGGTGAATAAATGTCTGAAAAACATCAAAGAAAAAATACTGCATAAATGCTGGATGGGTTTAACCCTAATTTTCCTCTTTGTTGGGTGGTAATGCCATCTTTCTTTCCGGCTGTTAGAGAAACAGTAAGAGTTCGCTGCTGCTGTTGCAAGTGAATGCAGGGTTTACACACAGATTAGCAGGTAGGTCATCAATCCATTGTTCAAAAAGATAACCAGCTTTTCTCAGGGCTATTATTTAATCCTACAGCATCCATAGGGGTGGATAAAATGGGATATGAGTTATTTAATCCAGCTCTGCAGAGTAGCACCGTTCTCCCTGAAGACAGGCTTTGATGAACGTTCTGATTTGAAGCCCTAATTGTTATCGCAGAATTCAAATGTTATAATACTTGTACATAAGAGTAAATTTATCCAGTCTTCTGGATAATTAAAATTAGTAATTTCTCAAGTTTTTACTCACATTTAATTTAAGAAATAAAGGGCCCTAATTACACCTTTTCCCTGTAGTCATATGAGATATTTTAAAACTGGTCTTATAAGATTTGGGTTTAGCTTTCAGAAAGCTCTCAGAGCTATTCATCGCAGGTTTCGCTCTGACCCAGGAGGGCATTTATACGTGCATTTGCAAAGAAAGAAACATATTAATCTACTAAAAGTAGATCACAGAAAGCTCGCCAGCCAATACATGACTATAACAATGTTCATTAATAATAATGTTACTTTTATAATAGTTATATTACTTCGATGCTGTTAGGTTCAAAACCAGATTGATTCAGGTATGAAATTTCTAATTAAATCTAAAGTATGAATAGACTAAGTTATGTTATAAGATGATAGTGAGAGGATTTTATTAACTGAACAACTTGTTTTCAGCACATTTAGGAGCTCTCTTCCATGGACAGAGATGTAAGGAAGTTAAATTGTGTTCACATAATAAAGATTTCAAATGGATTAAAACATTGCCGTCTCAAGTTTTCCCTTAGGAATTGGAACAATTTACTGTGGGCTTCTAATAACCCTCAGGATGTGTGGACAGAAGTTGCAGTCATCATGTCTACTGAACCCTAATGAGGTTTCAAGCTCCTCCCCATGTGTTCCAGATCTATCTGCTTATCTTGGTTCATGTTTAACGCACTGGGCCTCAGATGCAGGAGGAGTCAAAACCTGTCAGGAATGTGAGTACTCTTTTGGTATAGAAATCAGACAAAAATAATTACAACATGAAGCATAGCTTCATGAAAACTAAGAAAGGCCAACAGCTATGTTTCCTCACATTTCATAAAGTCATATCTAGAAATAATGTTACTTTTTTAAATTGGAAAATTAACAGTTACAATTCTTTGTACCTAAAGGATACTAATACTAATGGCAGGCTCCATTCCTTTGTTTGAATTTCACGCTCTCTCTTATCCAGACCGCAGTATTTAGACTCGCACAGCTGGGTATTAGAACTTAATATCAAAATCTGCTACCAAACCACATGCGATCAATGTTTAGCAACAGAGAGAATAAATGATGGATCTTGGCAGGTGTCCCAGGCAACACAAAATTCACATGAAATTACAAAAGATGATGAGTAGTCTGATTAAGATTTATTGCCTTTATTCACCTTGATTACTTATTGTTCTCCGAGCATTTCTTTGAGAAAAGGCTAATTAGCATACCTTTGGGCTCCAAGCAGAACAAAATACAGGAAATTATCTGTAGAAATCAGTTGTGTTGGACAGTGTCTCTTTTCAAGAAGATGCTTAACAACCTCTGAATAGCGCAGAAAAACATCTGCTGGCAATGAGCTGCACGGAGCACAGGTCACTTGGCTCAGCATGAATTGGAATTATTAGGAGAGAATTTACTTTCGAAAGATATAACACAGCATCCCCTTACCTCTTCACAATATTTCAGGTCAACCGACTTGCCATCACTTCGAACACAATCCAACATCCTTGTTTTAATGCCATTTCCACAAACTGCTTTCTCACTCAGCTGACATGTACTCCAGTCTGAAAGGAAGGGAGCCCATCAGAACAGAAGGCTGTGTATGAAACAGATTTCAAATGAAACTCTGATGACCTGAATCCCATATTTAATTCACAACTGCTTCCTAAGCCCCACAATCAATCACCTCACATGCAGAGCATATGGGTCCCAGCTTTGAACATATCAGGAGTCAAATGGAATTGCTGGGGTTGCACATAGCTACAGGGATTATTTTTGAAGGCAGATGTCACTCTTGATAGCTGGCGTTTGGCGATATTGTAAAAGTGACTTTGGCGCAGATCAAATGTCACTTAAAAACTTTTTCCTAAGAAAAGGAGAAATTTAAGTTTTAACATTATTTTTATTTTAGCAAAATCATCAAAATTTTAAAGGATGGTACTTTGTGTAGTTATATTCAAATAAAATACTGTGTTTCACTTTCTGTTCACACACAGAATGTTTTAAAATGTGTGCTTATTTCAAAATCACTTTGGCCATATTCATTTAAATCTCTTATTTTACGTCTTTTGCCAAATAATTCTTTCATCTTTCTTTCCAGGCTAACATAGTATGTCCCAGAGAACTGTGATTTCTTTGTGTCATCAAAGTAAATTGAGGAGAAAAACCAAAAGAAACAAAAGCCAATCTGATCACTGTGCATCATTGTACAATTTCTGAAGTTTGTTTCAGTGTGAAAATTACTTGGGAAAAATTCCAAAATAATCTTCAGTGCTAACCCAAATCACATAAGCCCACAAGCTCTCTTCTTTCCTAGTTTTTGCCTTGATGGTATGAGATGAGGGGTAGGGTAAAAAATGGAATTTATAATAAGCTTTTTTTTCTGAAAAAATACTTATCTATCCTTTTTCATCTGTTCTTTTGATAATATTGAAATATTTATATTTTCTTTATACATTTTTTGGCAAGCTTAAGATTGCTGCTGTTTTTCCATCATGTTTATAATCATGCTTATGAACTGCCTCCACACAAAGAATTGTTGTCCCAGTGTGTTACAGTGCTTAAACTTCTCCTGAAGAAGAAAGACATCTTTCCATAAACTGACTATCCACTATCTACCTCAGGGGCTAATGTTTGTGTGATATTTTTATTCTCTATATCTTAATGTTTACTAAAAAGTAAAACAGATAAATATTTCTGTCATTTAATAAAGAGTTATTTTTCGGGGAGCAAGCAGCATGTCCAAAGGCACATAGACGGAGACCAACAATATTCGGAACACTGCTGAGCTGACAGACGCGGGATCTGGCCTTAACTCCATGGTAAGATGGCTCTCCACGTACCTGTTACGTTATAGTCATAGTGGAAGCAGTTTTTATTCAGGTTACAGGGTTCCTTCTCAACAGCATCAGGGCAGGCTCTTCCTTCATCAGCAGGTTGTCTGATGGGATCAGCAGACCTTTGCCGGAAACTGCTTTGATTGCAAGGCTGACAAAGAGTAACACAGCTCCTCAGAAAGATGAAGATTCAGCCACACAAGAACTAACATATTAGGGAGAGCACTGAAGCAGGAGGTAGAACATTTGGGCCACAGGCTAACTCGAATAATCTCATTACGCCTCAGTTTCTTCATCTATAACATCAAGGTGTTGGATGAGTTTTTGATGTCCCATCTAGCAATAAGCTGCTTAAGAGTCTGTGTGTCAAATACTAATAGCTACATCACACATCACAAATAAACAAACACACACATATGATGATAATTATTGCAGATCACTAATACAGAAATTATCTATCAATCATCTAATATAGTCTCTCAGACCTGAAAAATCGTTTTAAAGGCGACTTTAAATAACTAGCTGTTAGTGACCTTTATTTTCCTAATTCACACACACATATGCACACAAACATAATTTAGTACTCAAAAAGACTGGCTTGTCATTCCCCTATTGGAACAGTCTCGTTCTGAAAACATTCGGTTTCTAAGGACAGAAGCAGGAATTTCAAATCTGATGCTTGGAATGAGAATAGAAAGGCATTTCCACACCCTCATGAAACAGTTGATTCTGTATTGCAATTTGACCTGAATCCCAGTCAACCACCAGCTCTGTTTTGCTCCTACAGTTCGCTACCAGTCAGCACCCTTAGTAATGTTAACACAGATTGAAAATTAATTTTTCCTTGAAAACATGCATGACAAATTCTTTGTAACTGTCCTATACTGTATCTCAGCAAATTAATTCCACATTAGATGTATTTTTCCCACGCTTTTGAGGTCATCTTGAAATGTACAGCTTTATGAAGGTCCCCAGGGGCAAGCCAAATCTCCTGCATTGTCAGCCAGTTCTGTTTCAAAGGACTCTTCCCAGGGTGGTGTGGAAGAGCCCCCACTGGCTGTTGAAATCTAGAAGCTTTGTGTGATTTGAAACTCTCAGCTGGCTTTCCAGGCCCAAAGAGACACAGAGTCAGTGTGTGGAAAGAGATTCATTGATACGCAGCTTTCTTCTTTCTACTCTCCTTCTTACCAGGATCTTTGGCATTTTGGTGTCAATACTCCTGTTTCAGTACCCCCATTGTGTGAAAGATTATTCCTACAATTTAAATAAAATGGATTGGGCAAAAAGCAAGGCATGACAATAACCTGACGCCATTAATGTACCTTTACTAGATCTTAATTCTCTTTCCCTTTACCTGAAGGGAATCATGATCACCACTGTAGTTTTTAACATGCTGTGTATTTATAAGCCAATCTGAAGGCATTTTGTGCTGGGTTAGGAGAAGGGGGAAGGAATACAAAGCTTGTAAGAGGTCAAGCTGTTCTAGTGTGAGTCAAAATGCTGATTTTAAATGTCACAGTCATAGAATGAAGTGGCCAAGAAAAACACCCCTTCCTTTGGTAATGAATTTGGTAACGAATTTAATAAGTATTATTTTCTTAATGATATCTTTAAAGCTTAGTGGTAAGGAATTAAGCAAACTCTGTTTTTTGTTTTTGTTTGCTTTTTGCTGAGGAAGATTAGCCCTGAGCTAACATCTGCATCAATCTTCCTCCAGTTTATATGTGGTTCACTGACACAGCAGTGCTCAGAAGTGATGTAGGCCCATGCCTGGGATCTGAACCCACAGACCTGGGCTGCCAAAGCAGAGTGCGCTGAACTTAACTACTATGCCACAGGGCTGGCCCCAAGCAAACTCTATATTAATAAATGGTTAATTATCTCACCAAAGTGCATCTGGTCCATGGACCCCATTCAGATATCACACAGTCCTCAGGACATGGTAATTGGCACTCTCTAGAGCCCAGGGGCATCTCTTCTGGGTCACAGAGGTAATCGTCTACGTGGTCAGAAGGGCCATCTGCTGTGTTCTGCATGCATCTGGAAAAAAACATCCAAATGAGTGAAGGAGCCAGGACAATTAGAATGGCCAATCCATAGGATAGATGGTTCTTCTTAAGCCATCATCATGGGGTTGGGAGGAGGGAAGCTTTGAATTTAATGAATAAGATCCTCCAAACACGGAGACGAGAGGACCTTTGCTTCCCATAAATACTTGTAGTGCTTCAGTGCGATTTAAAAACCTGTGCTTGTATGCATCATCATAATCTTTTAAAATAATATCTACTGAGTGTATGTAAACTCTGTAAGCCTTCCTCGGAAAGGAGAAGGTCATTTGCACTCATATACGATGCAGAAACTAACGAGTGGTTCAAAGAGGTTCACAGAAAGGTTGCAATTTTGGAATATAATGCATCTTTTTCTTCTGAAGAAAATGGCAGATTTCATAGAGAAGGTAGATTTAAATACGGTGGAAAATGAGGCACACTGAAATTTCCTAGTGAGAAAGCTTCATTATGTATTTTCTAAGGTAACCAACGGTATTATCAAATTGTTTTGTCATTTAAAAAGTAATTTAGCCTCCCATCTGCTGCTAATATTAAAAGAAAGCCAGAAGTGAAAAGACAATTATAACAGCAATAGCACAAATTCTCTAAATGTGGTTGTTTGGATCTTCCTACATCACGACCATTTTTTAATTCTTCTTTTTTATTTTTGTTTTTTTTGTGAGGAAGATTGGCCTTGAGCTCACACCTGCTGTTAAACCTCCTCTTTTTTTCTTGAGGAATATTGTCCCTGAGCTAACATCTGTGCCAATCTTTCTCTATTTTATGTGGGATGCTGCCACAGCGTGGCTTGATCAGCGGTACTAGGTCCACACCTGGGATCTGAACCTGCAAACCCTGGGCCACTGAAGCAGAGCACATGAACTTACCACTACACCACTGGGCTTGCCTCTGTTATTTTTCTTTTTAATAGAATAAATTCAAATACTTGGTTACATTTCATTCTACTGTAAGCAGTCATGAAGGACTCTTTCCTCATCTCTTGGGAATCTAATTAATGTGGCTAGTACCGGACTTCACTTTTACCTTAGTTAATAATCTCTCCTGGCACTTTTCTAGTAGAAGAGAAAAACTTTATCCCTCATCCATAACTCGGAGGAAGTCAACCAAGTTAATGGGTTTGGGCAGAGAATTACGTTGCAAGAGATGAAAAGGAAAGCTTGAGCTCTTAAGCCTCTCAAACCCACTGCAATGTTTTCAACTGTCGGCTGAATTACATTAGCAATTATACCTGGGGTCTCAACTTTTTTCAGGGGTTTACAATCAGGAGGGACATTGCGTCTTCACAAATCTACACTGCAGAAACACGTTTCTATACAGTGTTGCCCAATTTAAGAGAAAGGTCGTTTTCCTACAGGATGTATTCAAAGACTGGAAAACTGTGCTGTTGGTCATATCCTAACTGAGTTTGTAGCCTGAAAAAAACCCCATAAAAATATCCACCTCTGCATTTTTTTATTAGATAAGTATATAAAAGAGCAATCACAGAAACACACAAAGGTATATATTTATTTGATTTCATTGTTGAAAGAAAAATTAAATTCTAAATTTCTTTGGGAGAATTTTAGTTTCCCAGAAAAAGTTCTCCTTCAATGGCATTTTAACAACTATTCTGCTGGCAGTGGCTTTGAGAGGACATGGAGCAGCCAGGACAGCTGAATGCTCAAAAGTTGGATTTGCCGCTCAGAAAAGATCGCGTTTACGTAGGCACTGACACGATGTACAGGGATTAACTTGCAAAATTACCTATTGATTCAGAGTTAAGGACAGATGGTCAATACTCTATTATGTAGTTACATACATACAACTTCCTTTTCAAAGGCTTTTCTCCTCCTTTTGTTTTTTATTTTATAAGTAACATTCATTTTAGGAAAATCAGCAGAAACAAAAGTCACATAATTATATCACTCAGAGATACCAGTATTAACAGACTATTATATTTAAACATATATTTTCATTTCATAAAATAGGAGCAAACTTTACCCACTCTTTGCACCATTTAAGAAAAAAATTAACAATACATTATGAACGTATCTATAACTATTTTCTAAGATATAATTTTTAATGACTACATTTGAATTCTATCATTTGAATGTGCCACAATTGCTAAAAAGAAAATCTTTATTATTAACATTCAGATTATTTGTTTTATTTATTTTATTTGGTATTAACGATTTTTTTTTAACCACTCCAGAATACAGAATAAATATTTGGATCAAGTTTTGAGCCCAAAGGGAAGTCAGTTTAAGTTCTCTTGCTTTCTTCAAATTCTTGACCTTTCTCCTTTCATAGGAAAAGGAATTATGCTGGGAGAAAAGTGAACTGTACCAGAAATACATAGTGGAGAATCAAGTTGGAGGCAGAGGGGGGACTGGAGGCCCACCAGAGGTGTGGCAGTAAGGGCGTACATTGCAGAGAATTCAAAAGCAACAATAAAAGTAACCAAATCTTTTATTAGTCTTTTTTAATTATCACTATGTGCTGGCAATTCTAAAAAAAATGTCAGTGAAGAAATCCCTTCCCTCCAGGGCAAACCACTTCCACCACTCAGACCATCCTCCCACAGAAAGCAGGGGATCGGATAAACTGAAACCTTCTCTCTTATAGACGTATCTATCCTCAAAGGTCACACAATGCTCGTGTCTAAGCAGGACATTTTGACCTTAATTAGCAGAGGATAAGGTTAGGGAGGTGTACTACTCAATCAGTAACAAATAGGAACATTATTACGTGATCAGAGATCACAATCAATACTGACCTTCTCTTTTCTCTATCTGCATTCAAGATGTTTACTGAAAAAATAAATTGACCTGAAAAGTTACCTTGTTTAGGATGTGTTTGGAAACATTAAGACTATCTATTCACAAAGCAAAAATAAGCAACATCTATGTACAGAGTTGAAGGGAAAGCTGAAAGAAGAGTAATTCTTTACTACAATTTTTTTGTTTTTACTAACAAATCCCCCAACCCAATCAAATTCTTAATACAAGAAAAATATTTTTAAATTTGAAGAAGACATTTTAAATTTGGAAGGGAATAGTGGAAAACAGAATCTCTGTCTTTTTCTTCCCCATGTCCCTATCAATTTTTTACTTCCCTGCCATCTACCTTTATTAAGTTCCTCAGAAAAATAACTTGAGAGTTCAGATGAGCTTTTGAAAAAAGAAATAGAGATTACTTTTACTGAAAGCAAAGTTATACATAGTGTGCCAAGGTTTTATGATACAAACGTTAATTTGTTCTACTTCTCTATTGACAAATAGAATCAAATCTGTGAAAAAGTTAGGCCATGGGTGAGAATGGGCTTCTTCACAACATGAGTTGTCAAGTTCTGGATGTTCTCATATTTGTCTTTACTGTGTGTGTCACTTAGCAGGGTTAGAAGAAACTGGTCTAAAGAGTGACAAGAGACTTGGGTTTGAATGCCAACACTGTCTCTTTACTAGATGTTTGTTCTTGGTAAATTCTTTAGTGTTTCTGAATCTACTCTACAAAATGGGGATTAAAAAACCATATGTCCTTGTTTACCAGTGTTCTAGAACCCTTAAGGATCACATGTAGATGCTGTTGGCAAAATTTAATGAGTATCAAACTGGTATTAGGTGTTAGGGAATTTCTATAGCTATTACAGAGTCTCAGTATGGAGAAAATTATAGAGTTTAATAAAGGTGACACACTAGTAAATGGATCTTTTCACAACAATCAGGGGTGTCTGGGATGCTACAGAGCAACACTGCTCACCAGAACTTTCTGTGATGATGAGAATATTCTATATCTGTGCTAACAGAATAGCCATCAGCCACCCAGGGCTATTGAGCACTTGAAATGTGTTTGGTGTGACTGAGGAAATGTATTTTAAATTTCATTTAATTTTAATTACTAGGTTAAACTTAAAGTGAGATAGCCACATGTGGCTAGTGGCTACCCTACTGGCTAGTGCAGCCACAGAAGAGCAAATGAGTGGCATTAGGATTTAGGGCAGGCTTGCTCGAGGAGCTGAGTGTACTCAAAGTGAGCTACTTGCTATAGAGGAGCAAGAGTTTATAACAGATTATCATTAAAAAGCTGTTAGGAATATATTTGGCCTTTAAGAAATAAGTTATTGGGGTTGGAAATCTGCATTAGTTCAGCTCACATTTAACACACAGCTCTCCCCCCTCAAGAGCACCTTGAAGTGAAGCTTCCTAAACCAGAAGGTCGAATATGACAAAGTGCTGCTTGAAGCAGATGCCCTTAGAGTTTTCCATGAACCAGATTCCCTAAAAATAAAACTAAAGGCAACTGTGTTCAGGAGACCCGGGAGGAGTGAACGCTCCCGTTGGCATGTGTGAAACCGGGAGGTGGTTGTGCCTTTCGCTTCTCTGTTACTAGGTTGGCCTTACCTCACTTTTCGGGTTTGCACGCCCTCTCCACAGTTTTCCCGCATGTTCACAAAGGTCACCTTACAGACGCTCCACGGCTCTGTGACCCATATGTACTGGCTGCAGTCACTGTGGCAAGGGACGACCTCATACACCTGAAACACACACAGTTCTCAATGATCTCACCTCAGGGAACCCGAGGAGAGTGCGTGGGAAGACTCTACATCATAAGAATCGTTATATTCTTGTTCAGCTACTTTTATTTCTCTCCTTTGTTGTTCATCATTCTAAAAGAGGAATATAGAGAAATTTGTGGAGAGTTCCAGCAGTAAAGGGCAGGGCTAGCTGTGCTGTATTCTGCTGCTCCATTATGTTGTGGCTGGAGATCTGACCTGCTGGACCACATCAGATGTGCTACACACTTCTCTGTACTGACTGTACCCACAGTATTGCAATTTCCTGGGCCATCTCTCTTGTTCACAGTTTTACGCATCTTCAATACTTACCCCAGGGTGCTCATATTGTAGGCATTCAATAGAGATTTGTTGACTAAATGAATGCATGAATGAATTAAATAAGCATACAAAAGTAGATGTTCTCAAATAAATATAATTTGGCCTGTTTTCCAAATAAATATACATAACAATAAGAATTTATACTTTTTTGTGTTCCATATATGAAACTAAATTAGAATATAAATAATATGAAATAAAGCTGCCTTCAAACTAACCCTCAATCATTTAGGGCTTGGACGAAGTCTGAAACTGGTCTCATATCACACAGCAACAGCTGACAGCAGAGAGGGCCATTTGAAGCAAAGTAAATTGTCTTTCTCTGGTATCCATGAAGGCCTCAAGTCTTTCAACCTCAAATCTGAGGTAGTGTCTTTGGTTTCAGGATTTTTAGAACAGTGAACAATTATGTTCTTTCCTCAATAAGAAGAACTAAAAAGGGAAATAAATGGACCGTAATCCACTGCAACAGAGCTGATCCAACCATTAAAGGAAAACATCTTTTAAAGTCATTTCAAAATCTATAGTAATCCAACTCTATTTCCTATTTTACACATACACAAACACATACACTCACACAGAAACTACACAAAATGAATGTCTTATGTAACTATCTAATTCCAGAAAACACAGACTTAAATAACTTTTGGAGCCATTCTTTTGCACAAATTTTAGTGGACTAAACACCCAAGTAAAGTGAACAAAGTGGATCTCTTCCAACCAAATAGGAATGAAAAATATGTGTGGTTGGAGTAAGAATCTATACTTATTGTCATAAGTGATCACACTCGCTTTCGTGCTACACTAAAATACAACTAGATATTAACAGGTAAAATGCTACCCTACACCTTGTGGGAAATGAGAAAATTGAAGGGGAAATGCCATGTTTCCTCATTCTTTGATGGTTTTCATTTTAATCTCCTATGTTGGAGTGAATGCAAATCAGTTCAGAGCAACCTCCTACCACCCACTCTCAGCCCACAAGCACCTTCACCTCTCCTGAGAAGCACCCGGTTGTTAGTAAGAGATGTCACTGCCTTTTCAAGGCTGGTGAAGTAAAGCTTGCGCCCGCCTAGCCCTGCACCTCAGGCCCTGATATCAAAATGAGAAAACACAGGTAGCATGCTTGGGAAAAAAAAAGGAACAGCTGCCTAACAAAAACTTTATGGAAACTATGATATTTTCTCCCTGTAAAAGATAAGAGACAATAGCAGGGAAAAAATGCATTCTCTGAAATCAGGAGTTAAAAAGAAAAACAAGCAGCACTCTCTTATGAACCACGAGGCTTAAGAGTTCTTACCTGTGCCTGGAGTAGTGTTCAAGAGGAGTAAGAAAAGGGAGAGAAACAAAGATAAGTAAAACGTCAGTATATTTCATGAGAGGAACTCATGTTCTAAGTTGCAAATATTATTATCCATAAATAAAAGCCTACTTTTTTTTGGTAAATGATTAGAACACCTTCTCTTAAGTTTTGGGAGAGAAAAACTAACTCCTTATTGTTTAAAAGTAAGCTACACAAATGAATATTTCAAACAGTCCAGTTAAGGAAAGGATTATATGGGCAGGATGAAGAAATCTTAGAAAACTGAGTGGACCTCAAAATACATATCCTGGGGAATTGATATATAACTGCAATATCTTGTGGTCCAAATTGTGAATGGACTATCTGTCTATAGATTGATTAATTGATCAATCTATCAATCTTAATCAATCCATCTACCTATATTTCTTAGGAAATGAGGATTTGCTTCCTCAATTGGAAAATAGAATCTCAGAGAGCATTTTCAAGTCAACAGACCACTGATTATTCTACTGAGGAATGCACAATTGTACTAAAAATCTATGTGATTTACAACTTTCAACATTAACACAAATCTTTGCATATTCTTTACATTCCTATTATTTTACTAATACATAAATGCCTAGAAATTTCTATATTTTAATGTAGAACATTTATGCCCAAATATTCAGGAATCTATTATTTCTTGTTTTAGCTTTGATTTTTCAGTTGTTAATGTCTCACTACACCACCAGTAAGCTGATAACAAGTACCCAAAAATCCCCATCAAATTCTGCATCAGATTACATCAGAGTTGGAGAGTGACAGAGAAATGGCTTAGGTTAGAGAGCTTTCATAGCAAAGACAACTTGGCACAAGGTCTTGAACCTTTGCAAATTCACTATTAAAGAAAATGTTGAGGCAAACACAGCTCATTTAAATTTAAGATCTGATGGCTGTCCACATATACACACACACATACTGAAGGTATGAGGAAGTGTAGAAGTTCTCTTTATTAGAACCATGGATCAAATTTATTAAAAATTAAACTTGCCATTGGAAATTCAAGATTTCAAAACTTGTAGAGAAATATTGTTTTGTATTATTAACTTTACATTTCAGTTATTCTGTTTCATCAGGGTCACAGAACTGAATTTTCCTCTTTGCAAATATTCCCCATGACAGGGAAACTCAATTACCAATAGATGGCAGCAGTGCAGTATATTCTTTACCTGCAGTTGAATTTAAGGGCAAATTCAGCAACTTCACTTGGGAAAAAATCAAGATTCTTACAGAGTAGTTTCTATGGAATTTAATTCTCCACTTTCTTCATCTTAATCTCTTTATTCAATTCAAAAGTTCTTTTTATTTTCTCTATAGTGTATTTTCATTGTTATTAATAAATTGAGATTAATTTGGGAAGGAAAGTATGTACTGATAAGCAGTGTGTTGGGAGATTAAAATTACACAGTCTACATATGTATGAAAAATATTACATATTTAAGTTTGGTTCATACATATGACTTGGTTCATTTGACAAATTTAACCAGACATGTTAACATCTACACATACTATTTAAAATTCATTCTTTGTTAATTCACATGTAGGCCAAACATGATGATAATTGTCTGATGCACCTTATATTACATTTAACTTAGTCACAATTCCCTCTGTTAGTCTTTTTAATTTATAACTCCATTAGCACACAAGTAACAACTATTAACAGCAGCTAATGAAGTGTGCATACAAAGTCAAATAAAGTTCCAAACAGGGTTGAAAAGGCTAATGCCTAAACTGATGGACAGCATACTTACAATGATTTTGAGGTCATCTTTATATTTCTTTTCTCTTAACGTATTTGATATCAAGCAAACTTAAGTGAACACACAGTATATATTTCCTAATTTTAGAACCAAATCCATATACTTTCTTTGATTTTAATTTAAATAGTCGGTAATTGAGACATCTTTTCTGAGAATCTAGGGGAACTATAAGAATAAACAATCCTGTTCTCAGCACACAAATTACATACAACTTTATGATAGATTAAATACCTTGACATTATTTGAAAGGTGTCATTTTTATTTCCATTTAATTAAATTAATATGCGTGTATATGCAGGGTACTAAATCTCCTGAGAATGCAGAGATAATATATCTGATTTGGGATTTAATAACATATATGTACTTTACTCAGTCATCTTAAAGATAAAATGGGTCAAATTTCTTTTTTAGGGGCTATTTACTTTTCCCCATTTTGGAGAAAAAAAATAGATCACTGTAAATCTAAACAACACTTTAATATTCCCAATGGTAGAAAATACCTGGTTGACATGGTCCAGTTTGGGGCAAGGCCTTCCTCCATTATACGGTTTTTCACGCAGCCATTTAGACCGAACCTTCACACCACTCCCACAGGACTTACTGCAGCGCGACCAGTTGGACCACTCACTGAGCTTGCAGTCTGACGGGCAGGGCATGATGCAGGCCTCTTCGATGTAACCTGGGTAGAGGAAAAAGATGAGAGCTATCTCCTTCACATGTCACTTGCCCTCTACCACTTGCCAGTCTAGCTCATTTAGAAGGTCCAGGTTTGATTTGACAGCAACATGCAAATGCAGAGACGTCTCCGTCTTTAGGGACTCAAATTAAATTCTGCAGGAAAATGACACATACGTACAGTGACTCTGTTAAAATAACAGCTGAGCAGCTGCCACATGATCTGCTTAGGATTCAGGCTCACCGTATTTCAACATTTCTGACCTTCTGACAGCTCGTGTTTAATTGACAGTAACTTGTCTCCTGCCATATCATTCTCATGCTGCCAGAACGATACATTACAAAAATTCTAACAGTTTTCTATAAAATCCTGTTAATGTCACACAAATTCAAGTTTCTGAGCCCATGCAATGTTCTTCCTCAAGAAGAAAGCGAGATTCTCTCGATCGATATCCAAAAGGAACTATTTAACTTAGTGCCTTCTGTTTCCCCCTTCTTTGAAAACCAACTCTGAAGAAGAAAAATGAAGGATGTTAAATAAATAATGTCTCATATTTTTATAGTGCTGTCAATTTCAAAACACCTTCACATCTTGTATTCATTTGATTCTCTTGAAAATCTTATAAACATATTGGGCAGGGATTGATATTCTACTGGACAGATAAGAAAACAAATGCAGAGAGAGAACTGACAAGTGCAAGTTCACAGTAAGTAAGTTTCACAGTAAGAGATGGGGAAAGGTTTTCTGAGGTCTAGGCCAGCATGCATTCCATCAAATCACACAGCCAATTAACTTAATAGTCTACAGATTTGTTTTGAGAAATAAGAGCCTTTTCCTTGAACAGTCCCTCACCACCAACTTGGCATTTCACAATATCAATTTATCACTATTGTTTCAAGGCAAATATGTGGAAAAAGCAAAATTCCTCTGGTCAAGAGTCAAATGTTGTCCTCTGTAATCTGACTGTGGAGAGTAGTTGCTCTTGATACAAGAAAACACTCTGCCCTGCCATTTTACATCAGCATCAAGGATTTGATTTTGAAGATGATTATAATATAAACAATTTATACTAGAAACTCCAGGTAGATTTTTTAAAATTTTAGTGAGACATAATTCATACACCATAAAAGTCAGCTCATGTTTTGGTCTCTAATATACTCACTGAGTTGTGCAACTGTCACTATCATCTAATTTTAGAATATTTTCATCATCACAAAAAGAAACAATCGCTTCCCATATTTCCTTCCCTCATCCCCTGGCAACCACTAATCTACTTTATGTCTCTAAGAATTCACCTATTCTGAACATTTCATAAAATGAAATCAAACATTACACGGTCTTTTGTGATTGGCTTCTTTCACTCAGTACAATGTTTTCAGGGTTCATCTATGTTGTAGCATGTGCTAGTACTTCATTCCTTTTTACAACTAAATAGTATTCCACTGTATGCATATATCATCTTTTATTTATCCATTCATCAGCTGATGGATATTTTAGTTGTTTCCACATTTTGTATATTATGTATAACGCTGCTGTGAACATTTATGTACAAGTTTCTGTGTGGACATGTTTTCAGTTCTTTTGGGTATATACCTAGGAGTGGAACTGCTGGTTATATGATAACTTTATATTTAACTTTTTCAGGAAGTGCCAAACTGTTTTCCAAAGTGACTGTCCCATTTTACAATCCTGCTAGCAAGGCATGAGTGTTCCAATTTCTACATTTGTCAAAATTAGTAATTATGTCTTTTCTATTTTAGTGTCCTGTGGAAAACAAATGTTTTAAATGTTAATGAAGCCCAATTTATCTGTTTTTCTTGTTGCTTGTGCTTTGATGCCATATCTAGGAAATCATTACCTAATCCAAGGTCATGAAGATTTACACCTATGCTTTCTTGTACCACTTTTATATTTTTAGCTTTTGTCTTTAGGTATATGATTCATTTTGAATTAATTTTTATATACAATAAAAGTTAAGGGGTCCAACTTCATTCTTTTGTACGTGATTATCAAGTTATCTTAGGCCTGTTTGTTGAAAAGCCTATTCTTTCTACATTGCATTGTTGTGGCACTCTTGTTGAAAATCAATTGACCATATATGTAAGGATTTATATCTGGATTCTAAATGTCATTCCATTGGTCTCTAAGACTGTCCCACATTGCCTTGATTACTGTAACTTTGCAGTAAGTTTTGAAATCAGTAAGTGTCAATCCTCCTACTTTGTTCTACTTTTTCAAATTATTTTGCCTCTTTTTGATTCTTTGAACCAGCTTGTCAATTTTTGCCAAAAATGGCAGCTAAGATTTTGATAGGAATTGTGTTGAATAACTTGATCGATTTGGGAGTATTGCTATCTTAACAATCCAAGTACACAGAATTTCTTTCCATTTATTTAGGTCTTCTTTAATTTCTTTCAGTGATGTTTTATAGCTGCATTTCTTTTGTTAAATTTATTCCTAAGTATTTTATTCCTTTCACTCTACGTAGATTTAAAACATAACCAACAAACATTGATTTCTTTTATTACAGAGAAACGAGACCACCTAAAAACCAACAGGACAAATTTATCTATAAGCTTGTGCTCAAAGTGTCCTGGATTGAGACAGTGTTAAAAACCTAGCCAATTTACTACATAGTATTTCTCAGTCTTGCCTTATCATAAATTACCTGGAACACATGTTAAAAGTACAGGTTTCCAGCAAACCCAGACATTATGGTATAGTTTACTTGGAATAGGGTCTGATTTTTAGAAATTAATATATTTTATTGTGTTTATTCAGCACTCCCTCTTTTTTGCGGGAAATTTTATGAAATTTTCCTCATCAAGGTAATTGTAGATTCACATACAATTACAAGAAATAATACAGACAGCTTCCTTGTATACTTTTCCTGGTTTTCTACTATGGTAACTACAGTATAATTTCAAACAAGACACTGACATTGATACACTCCATTGAGTTTATTTAAGTCTCACCAGTTTTACTTGTATTTATTTGCACGTAAGACTGAAATTAGGAAATGTTGTGAGACACAGGCAGAATCAGCAAAATCTGGAAGAGAAATAGATTTGTGGCATATCTTTCTATATATTTTCTCCTATAGTTTTGTCAAAGAATACACATCACGTGTTTTAAACTTATTGTAGTCTCCATACACAAAAGTGCATCTTTCATAAGTAAAAAGTTCACAGAATACACCTGTGAAACCAACAGTCCAGAACCCTCTTTTGTGCTCCCTTCCAATCCCTACTCCTTCTCACCTGGGAAACCACTAGCCTGATTTCTCATGGTATAGAATTATTTTGCTTTTTAAAAATTTTACATAAATGGAATCATATAGTGTAAACCCATGTGTGCTAGCCTTCTTTCTCTCTACATTGGGATGTGAGACTCATCCATATTGTTGCATGTTGTTGAAGATTATTCACTCTAATTGATGTATAGTATTCCATTGTGTGAATATATTATGGCTTATTTATTTATCCTATTGTTGGCAAGTATTTGGGCATTTTTCATGTAGAACAATAACAGTACCGTTACAGTGGAGTATTAACGGTACTGCTACGAACATTCTAAAACATGTCCTTTGGTGAACGTATATATGCATTTCTATTGGGAGTATTCCTAGGAATGAATTTGATGCATCAGAGGATATGCATATTATATCATCTAATTGTAAGTGAAGTATAAAAGGAGAAGTGTTTTTAAAAGATGGGATTATAAATTTGGTATGAAGAGCAGGATGCAATGAAAGAGTTTTCAAAAGTGGGAATTAGTCTCAGATAATCTTCAAGAGGGCAGATGTACCAGTTGGGGTTTTGCTAGTCGTGAAACACTGAAGACAGAAAGAAGATACCAATGCTAAGCTTTGAATGTACTTCCGATATTGAAGAAGGCTTTTGGAAGAGGAAAGTCCGATGAAGAATTAAAGGAGTACTTTAAAATAGTGTTTACTAAAATTTTGAAAAGCAGAACTATTCATGAAATAGATTGTAGTGATCTACCTAACTTTTATACTTTGACTTTAATTATGGCTTGAGGTGGGAAACAAGCCCACTTAACTACTTTGAGTTGAAATATGTTTCAAGTCCCATTCCCCTTTTCACACAGCACAGCCAGTAAACAAATTTATCTAAAATTCTATGAGATGCTTAAAAATGCAACTCCTGACAGAGCCAGTAATAATTTGTTTTGTGTTTCACAGTAATAGTTTAAGAAACAGAATGAGACTGTAAAAATGTTTAAAGTCATTTCCAAATCAATGCTATTCTGTGACCAAATTGTTTGTTCATAAAAGTACAAAGAATTTTTTTTAAATCCCAAATATTTCCAAATATCATCAATAGCTTTGGCAAAAGCACACTAGTATTGCAAAGGTAATAAGTTATGGAAATATTTCTAGAAGAAATGCATTTTTCCACTTTGCTAAACTTCAAAACGACTACAGAAGTAAACTTCTACGCTTTTGCTATTCAGTAATTGTAGTTGAAAGTAGAATCACATGATTTTTCATGTCACTGCTTCACAGAGCAACGGACAATGGAAATTCTCTCTTTCCACTTTATCTGCTGAAGTATTACGGCATCAGTGAGACTTAACATGTATGTATGATTCACACTATACTATTAAGCAAGCAGATATAAAACTTTTATGTCTGATTTTCCAGTAGTGTATTCCAGAAAACATCTCTCAAATAAAACTCAATCTATTAAATTGTTAAAAGATACAAATTAGACACTGAGATAGACAAAACTGCTATTGAGTATAATGCTTAGCATTCCATTTTTATTTCCCAGTGTGTAACAACATTCAATAATTGCCTGTCATGTTTATTTAGCACAATTAAAATCCTTAATGCTACTAGCGAACTGCTAGATAAGCACTCCCCTGCCTTCTCTGCTAAGATCATTTCTGAGGGCAATTAACACCAAACAATCATGGGGGATGGGAAGACAGAAACCTCTGAAACGTTTTAAAGCTAAATAAACTGCTGGCATCTTGTA